CCCCCCCCCCCCCGCCCCCCCCCCCCCCCCCCCCCCCCTCCCTCACCCTCTCCCTCTCCCTCTCCCTCTCCCTCACCCTCACCTCACACCCTCCCTCTTCTCTCTTTCACCCTCTCCCTCACTCCCTCCCTCACCCTCTCCCTCACCCTCTCCCTCTCCCTCACCCTCACACACTCCCTCTTCTCTCCCTCACCCTCTCCCTCACCCTCACCCTCACACACTCCCTCTTCTCTCTTTCACCCTCACCCTCACACACTCCCTCTTCTCTCCCTCTCCCTCACCCTCACCCACACCCTCCCTCTCCCTCTCCCTCTCCCTCACACCCTCCCTCTCCCTCTCCCTCTCCCTCACCCTCACACCCTCCCTCTCCCTCTCCCTCTCCCTCACCCTCACACCCTCCCTCTCCCTCTCCCTCTCCCTCACCCTCACACCCCTCCCTCTCCCTCTCCCTCTCCCTCACCCTCACACCCTCCCTCTCCCTCTCCCTCACCCTCTCCCTCTCCCTCTCTCCCTCTCCCTCTCCCTCTCCCTCTCCCTCTCCCTCTCCCTCTCCCTCACCCTCACACCCTCCCTCTTCTCTCTTTCACCCTCTCCCTCACTCCCTCCCTCACCCTCTCCCTCTCCCTCACCCTCACCCTCACACACTCCCTCTTCTCTCTTTCACCCTCTCCCTCACTCCCTCCCTCACCCTCTCCCTCACCCTCTCCCTCTCCCTCACCCTCTCCCTCACCCTCTCCCCTCTCCCTCACCCTCACCCTCACACACTCCCTCTTCTCTCTTTCACCCTCTCCCTCAGCCTCTCCCTCTTCTCTCTTTCACCCTCTCCCTCACCCTCTCCCTCAGCCTCTCCCTCTTCTCTCCCTCACCCTCACACCCTCCCTCTTCTCTCTTTCACCCTCTCCCTCAGCCTCTCCCTCTTCTCTCTTTCACCCTCTCCCTCACCCTCTCCCTCTCCCTCACCCTCACCCTCACCCTCACACACTCCCTCTTCTCTCCCTCACCCTCACACCCTCCCTCTTCTCTCTTTCACCCTCTCCCTCAGCCTCTCCCTCTTCTCTCTTTCACCCTCTCCCTCACCCTCTCCCTCAGCCTCTCCCTCTTCTCTCTTTCACCCTCTCCCTCACCCTCTCCCTCTTCTCTCTTTCACCCTCTCCCTCACCCTCTCCCTCAGCCTCTCCCTCTTCTCTCTTTCACCCTCTCCCTCAGCCTCTCCCTCTTCTCTCTTTCACCCTCTCCCCTCACCCTCTCCCTCTTCTCTCTTTCACCCTCTCCCTCACCCTCTCCCTCTTCTCTCTTTCACCCTCTCCCTCACCCTCTCCCTCAGCCTCTCCCTCTTCTCTCTTTCACCCTCTCCCTCACCCTCTCCCTCTTCTCTCTTTCACCCTCTCCCTCAGCCTCTCCCTCTTCTCTTCTCTTTCACCCTCTCCCTCACCCTCTCCCTCTTCTCTCTTTCACCCTCTCCCTCACCCTCTCCCTCAGCCTCTCCCTCTTCTCTCTTTCACCCTCTCCCTCAGCCTCTCCCTCTTCTCTCTTTCACCCTCTCCCTCACCCTCTCCCTCTTCTCTCTTTCACCCTCTCCCTCACCCTCTCCCTCTTCTCTCTTTCACCCTCTCCCTCACCCTCTCCCTCTTCTCTCTTTCACCCTCTCCCTCAGCCTCTCCCTCTTCTCTCTTTCACCCTCTCCCTCAGCCTCTCCCTCTTCTCTCTTTCACCCTCTCCCTCACCCTCTCCCTCTTCTCTCTTTCACCCTCTCCCTCAGCCTCTCCCTCTTCTCTCTTTCACCCTCCCCCTGTCACCCGGATCTGTGAGCTCCGCCCAGATCCGAGCGTACGCAGCTGTTCATAAATGTGGCTGAAAACATATTTATTTAAACATGTTTATTTAATATTTTAGTCGCGCGGTCAAATATTCAGAAACCGCCTGTTTCACGCCTCGTTTTTACAACAACTGAGAGGAAACCAAGAAGAAAAGCTTCACTGAGCGGGAATAAAGTGAGAGAAAAGAAAGTCGTACTATTTGGAAGCCTCAAAAGTGGCATCAAGGAGCTCAAAAGAGAAAACATGGAAACAGCGTGGGGGCGGTAACACTCCTGAAGAGGAGCGTTTGTTTAAAAAGAAATATCTGCTATATTATGTAGATCGATGTAGATTATAGAGCCTGAAGGTCGGAGTTCCAGCCCACCACAAGACCTACATGTTTCTATTCAGATTTTAGATTTTATTAACAATAACCACGTCTTTGAGAAATTCCAATCCGGTTTTAAAGCACAACACACAGAGACAGCCTCCTTAGAGTTTTAAATGACCTCCTTTAAACACAGACACAGGAGAGTGCTCTATTTTAATTCTTTTAGTGTCAAAGGCAGAGCTTAAATCTATCGACCACGATATTTTATTGAATCGCCTCCAAACGTGGGTTGGCATCAGAGAAACTGCACTTGGTTGGTTTCATTCTTATCTTTTAGAAAGAACCTTTGCGGTCACCATGGGTGATTATACCTCCTCTACAGCCCCCATTACCTGTGGTGTGCCGCAGGGTTCTATTTTAGGTCCCATTTTATTCTCTCTTTATATGCTCCCCCTAGAACACGTTATGGCCCGTCATAACGTGTCCTTCCACTGCTCTGCGGACGACACACAGATCTACCTCCCGCTGAGACCAAACGACCCTGAAGTCTGCTGTGGTCGACTGTTTTAACGAGGTGAACCGTTGGATGGCCTTTCTACAGCTCAACACCTCCAAATCAGAAGTCCTCCTCATCAACTTTTGGGCCGGGACCCGCCCCCACTGGTTGTAGCCAAGCCCCTCTGATCCAAGATGGCGGACTATTCAAATGAATGATCTGTGCTCAGTGGCACATGTGCCGGGACGGGCGCTGACATATTAGCGCACATGTGTCAAAGTCAAGGCCCGCGGGCCAAATCCGGCCCGCGGGCCTTGACTTTGGTCAATTGGGTCAATTGCGTCGGTCAATTGCGTTTTCCGCTATTTTCATGTTCCAGATGTCTATTATATCTAATATGTTTGGGGATAAGCTTGAGAGCATATTGAATCGAACCAGCAGGTGGCAGCAGCGCTCTCCGAATGGTTTGAAAACAGCTAGATGCACTTGTTGTGCCTCTTTTTTCTCAACTTTTTGGTCATTTCAGTAATATTATTATTATTATTATTATTATTAACAAAATTATTTTTGCTGATGAAAGTAGACAGTCCATTCTTTCAGAATCTGGTTTCGGATTTCAGATAGTCATAGTACAGATGCACAGATGTTGGTGCAGTTCTACACGGCCATCGAGTCCATCCTCACCTCCTCCATCACCCCCTCCATCACCTCCTCCATCACCTCCTCCATCACCTCCTCCATCACCTCCTCCATCACCTCCTCCATCACCTCCTCCATCACCTCCTCCATCACCTCCTCCATCACCTCCTCCATCACCTCCTCCATCACCTCCTCCATCACCTCCTGCATCACCTCCTGCATCACCTCCTCCATCACCTCCTCCATCACCTCCTCCATCACCTCCTCCATCACCTCCTCCATCACCTCCTCCATCACCTCCTCCATCACCCCCTCCATCACCCCCTCCATCACCTCCTCCATCACCTCCTCCATCACCTCCTCCGTCACCGTGTGGTTCGCTGGAGCCACAGTCAGGGACAAACGGAGACTACAGTGCATTGTGCGCTCTGCAGAGGAAGTGATCGGCCGCAGCCTTCCATCGCTGCAGGACCTGTACGTCGCCCGAGCTCGAGGCCGGGCTGGTCGTATCACAGCCGACCCCTCTCACCTGCACATGGACTATTCCAACCACTCCCCTCTCACCTGCACATGGACTATTCCAACCACTCCCCTCTCACCTGCACATGGACTATTCCAACCACTCCCCTCTCACCTGCACATGGACTATTCCAACCACTCCCCTCTCACCTGCACATGGACTATTCCAACCACTCCCCTCTCACCTGCACATGGACTATTCCAACCACTCCCCTCTGACCCTGCACATGGACTATTCCAACCACTCCCCTCTCACCTGCACATGGACTATTCCAACCACTCCCCTCTCACCTGCACATGGACTATTCCAACCACTCCCCTCTCACCTGCACATGGACTATTCCAACCACTCCCCTCTCACCTGCACATGGACTATTCCAACCACTCCCCTCTCACCCTGCACATGGACTATTCCAACCACTCCCCTCTCACCTGCACATGGACTATTCCAACTATTCCAACCACTCCCCTCTCACCTGCACATGGACTATTCCAACCACTCCCCTCTGACCTGCACATGGACTATTCCAACCACTCCCCTCTCACCTGCACATGGACTATTCCAACCACTCCCCTCTCACCTGCACATGGACTATTCCAACCACTCCCCTCTCACCTGCACATGGACTATTCCAACCACTCCCCTCTCACCTGCACATGGACTATTCCAACCACTCCCCTCTCACCCTGCACATGGACTATTCCAACCACTCCCCTCTCACCTGCACATGGACTATTCCAACCACTCCCCTCTCACCTGCACATGGACTATTCCAACCACTCCCCTCAGGCAGGAGGCTGCGGTCCATCAGGACTAGAACCTCCCGCCACAAGAACAGTTTCTTCCCCTCTGCTGTTGGACTCTTGAACACTTCTTAACCTGTCCCCCCGCCCTTTATAAAGTCACTTTACTGCCCATCATACGTCACTTTACTTCACTGTACTGCTGTCACCTTACATTGTGTGCACCATGTGCACTTGTATATTGTAAATAGTAACTGTAACTCTATTTTAAATTTACATTTATTCCTTAGAAGTGTTTTTTTATTCTTTATTTTGTATTATCTCTTTCTGACTGTTGCACTGAGCCAAAGCAATTTCCAAGTCTGTGACTTCTGTTACTTACGTGGCAATAAAAATGATTCTGATTCTGATTCTGATACACAATATTCTGTGGGTCTTGAAAAATCTATAAAAATCATCAGAAACTGCTGGCAATATGGGAGTATCTGTTCTGAAATAGACTGGCAGGCAATGAGTTAATAAACATTGAACCAGTCCGGCCCTCGGCTCGCAGCAAATTTGTTTTTTTGGCCCTCTGATGTATTTGACTTTGACATGCCTGTATTAGCGGAACTCGCTCGTATTTGGGCATCGTCTGGTCCTCCCGGTTCTGTGCAGTGGACGAGCTCCCATGATGCTTTGCACAAAATATGCGTGTGTGGCACAGAGGGGCTCGGCCATGCTCTGACCAATCAGCACTGCTGATCAGAGCGGAGCCAAACGATTAGAGTTTGTGGCAGTAAAGTGTGGATTTAAAGAAAACCGAAGGATTTAAGAAGAAAAAAAGTTCAGGATGACAAGGGACACTCAAATCCCCACAAAATCTAATCTTTATGAAAACTGTAGGTTCTCTGTCAGGTTCTCAGTCAGCTGAGGTCGAGCTGTTTTAGTTTACATTGTTCTATGGGACTTTTTTCAGGGTAGCCCTCGTGAATTTAGTCTGCAGTACCACAGCGCCCCCTGTGGCCATGGGTGGGACAGCTGTAAGCTAGTAATGCACTATCCAGTTATTATTATAGATCCATGATTGTAACCAGCACTGATTTTAGGTGCTACACAACAAGCCACACATTTGTGGGAGACATGTTTATTGTCCAAATCTTGAATTTCATTCATGTTATTTGCGTGTTGAGATGAGCGTATACATTTACACCACCTCTAGACTATATTCTGTTTATATTCACTATATTCTGTTTATATGCAGTAGCTACTGCTACTGCTCCTACTGCTGCTACTGCTGCTACTGTAGTAGTAATAGTAATCTTTATTTATATACCGCCTTTTCACTGCACATCGGAGTCTCAAAGCGGTTTACAATTGTTATTTTTGGGAGCGGGGCCAGTACAGGAGGCACATGCCAGAACTATTGTACATATTTTTAGTGGTAGGGGAAACCGGAGTACCCGGAGGAAACCTATGCAGACACGGGGAGAACATGCAAACTCCACTCAGAAAGGCCCTGGTCCGACCGACATTCGAACCCAGGACCTTCTTGCTGAGAGGCGAGAGTGCTGCTGCTGCAGCTGCTGCTGCACAAACCTTTAGTTTCATTCTCTCTCGTTTCTGTTTGGACAAACAGGAAGTGGTTTCATTAGAACAAAGCAGGAAACTCGAGTCTCTCAGAACGAGCTCAAACTGATCCAGAAACAACTTCAAAGTGAAATGATCATCTTTGTTTTGTAAATGATTTCTGTATCAAACTTGTTATTTTAAATGCTGCTAAAATAACCAAACTTGAAAACAAAGTTCAAACATACGAATGAAAAGCACTGTTTTATTGAAAGAGTTTGTTCACGTCATGTTTCTGAGTTTGTAAAATGGACTTCTAACGAATGGACAGGGGACTGTGTGGAAGCATTTAGTGAAGTCTTTGTGATGGTGTTGTTCCACTTCACTTTGGTCTTAGCTCTGGATGTCCTGATGAGAGACTGATGAGAGACTGATGAGAGACTGATGAGAGACTGATGAGAGACTGATGAGAGACTGATGAGAGACTGATGAGAGACTGATGAGAGACTGATGAGAGACTGATGAGAGACTGATGAGAGACTGATGAGAGACTGATGCAGATAGTCCGGCCCCTGTGGAATAGGACACATTCTTCTGTTAAAGTGACAATAAAACACTTTGGTCTTTGGCACAAAATGTCCCTGTGCTCAGGAATGGGTTAGCCCGACCCTAGGTTATGGGTCATAGAATAGCTATAGTTACCCTAACCCTGTCCCTGTGCTCAGGAATGGCAGCCGCCTTTCGCCTGCGACGTGGAGAGACTCAAGTTCACTCCACGAATCCAACGACTCAATGAGCTCGAGGTGAGAGAGTGTGTGAGGTGAGAGTGTGTGAGGTGAGAGAGTGTGTGAGGTGAGAGTGTGTGAGGTGAGAGAGTGTGTGAGGTGAGAGTGTGTGAGGTGAGAGAGTGTGTGAGGTGAGAGAGTGTGTGAGGTGAGAGAGTGTGTGAGGTGAGAGAGTGTGTGAGGTGAGAGAGTGTGTGAGGTGAGAGAGTGTGTGAGGTGAGAGAGTGTGTGAGGTGAGAGTGTGTGAGGTGAGAGAGTGTGTGAGGTGAGAGAGTGTGTGAGGTGAGAGAGTGTGTGAGGTGAGAGAGTGTGTGAGGTGAGAGAGTGTGTGAGGTGAGAGAGTGTGTGAGGTGAGAGAGTGTGAGGTGAGAGAGTGTGTGAGGTGAGAGAGTGTGTGAGGTGAGAGTGTGTGTGAGGTGAGAGTGTGTGTGAGGTGAGAGTGTGTGTGAGGTGAGAGTGTGTGTGAGGTGAGAGTGTGTGTGAGGTGAGAGAGTGTGTGAGGTGAGAGAGTGTGTGAGGTGAGAGAGTGTGTGAGGTGAGAGTGTGTGTGAGGTGAGAGTGTGTGAGGTGAGAGAGTGTGTGAGGTGAGAGAGTGTGTGAGGTGAGAGAGTGTGTGAGGTGAGAGAGTGTGTGAGGTGAGAGTGTGTGAGGTGAGAGTGTGTGTGAGGCGAGAGAGTCTTTTAGATCCCTGTGATCCTAAAACGATAGGTCAATAGGTCCCTGTGATCCTGTTTCTGTGGTTTCAGGCTCAGACCAGAGTGAAGCTGAACTTCTTGGACCAAATCGCAAAGTTCTGGGATCTCCAAGGATCCACTTTGAAGATCCCTCACGTGGAGCGCAGAGTCCTGGACCTCTACCAGCTCAACAAGGTCTGAACTCTTTAGCACTTTACACTTAAGCACTTTACACTTTAGCACTTTACACTTTAGCACTTTACACTTTAGCACTTTACACTTTAGCACTTTATACTTTAGCACTTTATACTTTAGCACTTTACACTTTAGCACTTTATACTTTAGCACTTTATACTTTAGCACTTTATACTTTAGCACTTTACACTTTAGCACTTTACACTTTAGCACTTTATACTTTAGCACTTTATACTTTAGCACTTTACACTTTAGCACTTTATACTTTAGCACTTTATACTTTAGCACTTTATACTTTAGCACTTTACACTTTAGCACTTTATACTTTAGCACTTTATACTTTAGCAACCCTCTGAAGAGCCTGTGTACAGTAGAATGGTGAGGTGTACCTGTGATAAGAGCCTGTGTACAGTAGAATGGTGAGGTGTACCTGTGATACGACCCTCTGTGTGTTTTTCTGCAGCTGGTTCATGAAGAGGGTGGTTTCGAGTTGGTTTGCAGAGAGCGGCGTTGGTCTAAGATCTCGGTGAAGATGGGGTTTGCGGCGGGTAAAGCCACCGGGTCTCACCTCCGCACTCACTACGAGAGGATCCTCTACCCCTACAACCTGTTCCAGAAGGGCTCCAACCTGCCGGTACTCATGGCTCAGTGAAATAGAGTAGTCTGGACCAGTCTGGGTCGGCTCAGCTCAGTCTGGGTCTGCTCAGTCTGGGTCTGCTCAGTCTGGCTCGGCTCAGTCTGGCTCGGCTCAGTCTGGCTCGGCTCAGTCTGGCTCAGCTCAGTCTGGGTCGGCTCAGCTCAGTCTGGGTCTGCTCAGTCTGGCTCGGCTCAGTCTGGCTCGGCTCAGTCTGGGTCGGCTCAGTCTGGGTCTGCTCAGTCTGGCTCGGCTCAGTCTGGGTCGGCTCAGTCTGGGTCTGCTCAGTCTGGCTCGGCTCAGTCTGGCTCGGCTCAGTCTGGGTCGGCTCAGTCTGGCTCGGCTCAGTCTGGCTCGGCTCAGTCTGGGTCGGCTCAGTCTGGCTCGGCTCAGTCTGGCTCGGCTCAGTCTGGCTCGGCTCAGTCTGGGTTGGCTCAGTCTGGCTCGGCTCAGTCTGGGTCGGCTCAGTCTGGGTCGGCTCAGTCTGGGTCGGCTCAGCTCAGTCTGGCTCAGCTCAGTCTGGCTCAGCTCAGTCTGGCTCGGCTCAGTCTGGCTCGGCTCAGTCTGGGTCGGCTCAGTCTGGGTCGGCTCAGCTCAGTCTGGGTCGGCTCAGTCTGGGTCGGCTCAGTCTGGGTCTGCTCAGTCTGGGTCTGCTCAGTCTGGCTCGGCTCAGTCTGGCTCGGCTCAGTCAGGGTCGGCTCAGCTCAGTCTGGCTCAGCTCAGTCTGGCTCAGCTCAGTCTGGCTCAGCTCAGTCTGGCTCAGCTCAGTCTGGCTCAGCTCAGTCTGGCTCAGCTCAGTCTGGCTCGGCTCAGTCTGGCTCGGCTCAGTCTGGCTCGGCTCAGTCTGGGTCGGCTCAGCTCAGTCTGGGTCGGCTCAGTCTGGCTTGGCTCAGACCTAACATTAAATCAGTTCCGTCTCTCTCAGCAGGCCAGTTTGACCAATGACCTGAAGGACCAGGAGTACACGCCACACGACATCCCTCAGCGTCAGTCGGTGCAGCCGGAGACCTGCACCATCGCACGCCGAGCCAAGCGGCTCCGGGCCGAGGTGGGCTAACTGCTCTGTGTGCTAGCTTTACTACTTTATTCATTCTTCAACAAATAAGACGTACAACATGAGACATTGTAGAGTAGTCTTTCCACCAACTTAGCCTTGTTCAGGTCCAAAATGAGATGAAAATAAAATATTACAAAATAATAACTCTAATCTAATAAAATAAATAATAATTATTAATAGTAATGAAAAAACAAAACAAAGAAAATCTCAGCATCTGTAAGTAAAAGGATTGTATCAACCAAGAAAGGGAACCTTTGCTAAGCTTTTCTAGTTTTAAAGATAGAGCTCATCTCTAACCCAGTCATATGTCGTTTGGTTAGATGTTTCTACTAACAAAGGGTTTAAAGGCTCCAGGACCAGGACCAGGACCAGGAGCAGGAGCAGGACCAGGACCAGGACCAGGAGCAGGCTTTGGACTAAGTGCATCCAACAGAACCTTAGCCCTTTCTTATTCTGACTCTCATACGTCTGTTTAAGTAAAGGAGGCATCGTGTGCTAGCTTTAGCTCCTCGTGTCCAAGTGCTGTAACTGTGTCAACGTCTAAATGTGTCTTTTTAACCATTTCTGCCATTGCTTCTTTTCAGAAAATCAAAATTGAACCTGGAGAAATCTGTGACGCTCGTCCAGCTCTGAGGATGAGGAGGATGGGCACGTTTCCAGTCAAACGAGAACAAAGTGAGATTTTCTAATCATTGTGGACTTCTGGCTGAATACCCATAATTCAGTTCAGTTCTTCTTCACAATATCACACATTTACATATACATTGAGTTTGTATCCATATTTATGACACTGAGAAAAAGAAATGGACACCCAGGAAGCTACACAAGTATGGGGTCCAATAATACAAAGTCAAATAATAATAGTTATTTTAGAATCAAAGCGATGAGATTTCTTTGGCTTCATCAATCTTCTAAATGTCATGACAAAAGCCTAAAATGATGGCTGTATTTCCAGCTCGAATGGCAGCGGCCGAGCCCAAGGAGCCCAAGGAGGAGCCAGAGGAGCCTAAAGAGGAGCCTAAAGAGGAGCCAGAGGAGCCAGAGGAGCCTAAAGAGGAGCCTAAAGAGGAGCCAGAGGAGCCCAGTCCAAACACCACAAACAAACCCTCAAATAAAGTGAGTCTCTGCAGCAGGAACATTCACATCTACACCTGAATGTTTCATATTTAAGCCCTGTATCTCCCATCGAGTCCACAGACAAAGCTGTTAAAGTAGATAAAGTGTGTGTGTCGTCGGCAGGTGGACCAGTACATGTGTCTGTGTAGTGTTGTGTAAAGTGTGTGTCGTCGGCAGGTGGACCAGTACATGTGTCTGTGTAGTGTTGTGTAAAGTGTGTGTCGTCGGCAGGTGGACCAGTACATGTGTCTGTGTAAAGTGTGTGTCGTCGGCAGGTGGACCAGTACATGTGTCTGTGTAGTGTTGTGTAAAGTGTGTGTCGTCGGCAGGTGGACCAGTACATGTGTCTGTGTAGTGTTGTGTAAAGTGTGTGTCGTCGGCAGGTGGACCAGTACATGTGTCTGTGTAGTGTTGTGTAAAGTGTGTGTCGTCGGCAGGTGGACCAGTACATGTGTCTGTGTAGTGTTGTGTAAAGTGTGTGTCGTCGGCAGGTGGACCAGTACATGTGTCTGTGTAGTGTTGTGTAAAGTGTGTGTCGTCGGCAGGTGGACCAGTACATGTGTCTGTGTAGTGTTGTGTAAAGTGTGTGTCGTTGGCAGGTGGACCAGTACATGTGTCTGTGTAGTGTTGTGTAAAGTGTGTGTCGTCGGCAGGTGGACCAGTACATGTGTCTGTGTAGTGTTGTGTAAAGTGTGTGTCGTCGGCAGGTGGACCAGTACATGTGTCTGTGTAGTGTTGTGTAAAGTGTGTGTCGTCGGCAGGTGGACCAGTACATGTGTCTGTGTAGTGTTGTGTAAAGTGTGTGTCGTCGGCAGGTGGACCAGTACATGTGTCTGTGTAGTGTTGTGTAAAGTGTGTGTCGTCGGCAGGTGGACCAGTACATGTGTCTGTGTAGTGTTGTGTAAAGTGTGTGTCGTCGGCAGGTGGACCAGTACATGTGTCTGTGTAAAGTGTGTGTCGTCGGCAGGTGGACCAGTACATGTGTCTGTGTAGTGTTGTGTAAAGTGTGTGTCGTCGGCAGGTGGACCAGTACATGTGTCTGTGTAGTGTTGTGTAAAGTGTGTGTCGTCGGCAGGTGGACCAGTACATGTGTCTGTGTAGTGTTGTGTAAAGTGTGTGTCGTCGGCAGGTGGACCAGTACATGTGTCTGTGTAGTGTTGTGTAAAGTGTGTGTCGTCGGCAGGTGGACCAGTACATGTGTCTGTGTAGTGTTGTGTAAAGTGTGTGTCGTCGGCAGGTGGACCAGTACATGTGTCTGTGTAGTGTTGTGTAAAGTGTGTGTCGTTGGCAGGTGGACCAGTACATGTGTCTGTGTAGTGTTGTGTAAAGTGTGTGTCGTCGGCAGGTGGACCAGTACATGTGTCTGTGTAGTGTTGTGTAAAGTGTGTGTCGTCGGCAGGTGGACCAGTACATGTGTCTGTGTAGTGTTGTGTAAAGTGTGTGTCGTCGGCAGGTGGACCAGTACATGTGTCTGTGTAGTGTTGTGTAAAGTGTGTGTCGTCGGCAGGTGGACCAGTACATGTGTCTGTGTAGTGTTGTGTAAAGTGTGTGTCGTCGGCAGGTGGACCAGTACATGTGTCTGTGTAGTGTTGTGTAAAGTGTGTGTCGTCGGCAGGTGGACCAGTACATGTGTCTGTGTAGTGTTGTGTAAAGTGTGTGTCGTCGGCAGGTGGACCAGTACATGTGTCTGTGTAGTGTTGTGTAAAGTGTGTGTCGTTGGCAGGTGGACCAGTACATGTGTCTGTGTAGTGTTGTGTAAAGTGTGTGTCGTCGGCAGGTGGACCAGTACATGTGTCTGTGTAGTGTTGTGTAAAGTGTGTGTCGTCGGCAGGTGGACCAGTACATGTGTCTGTGTAGTGTTGTGTAAAGTGTGTGTCGTCGGCAGGTGGACCAGTACATGTGTCTGTGTAGTGTTGTGAAGTGTGTGTCGTCGGCAGGTGGACCAGTACATGTGTCTGTGTAGTGTTGTGTAAAGTGTGTGTCGTCGGCAGGTGGACCAGTACATGTGTCTGTGTAGTGTTGTGTAAAGTGTGTGTCGTCGGCAGGTGGACCAGTACATGTGTCTGTGTAGTGTTGTGTAAAGTGTGTGTCGTCGGCAGGTGGACCAGTACATGTATCTGTGTAGTGTTGTGTAAAGTGTGTGTCGTTGGCAGGTGGACCAGTACATGTGTCTGTGTAGTGTTGTGTAAAGTGTGTGTCGTCGGCAGGTGGACCAGTACATGTGTCTGTGTAGTGTTGTGTAAAGTGTGTGTCGTCGGCAGGTGGACCAGTACATGTGTCTGTGTAGTGTTGTGTAAAGTGTGTGTCGTCGGCAGGTGGACCAGTACATGTGTCTGTGTAGTGTTGTGAAGTGTGTGTCGTCGGCAGGTGGACCAGTACATGTGTCTGTGTAGTGTTGTGAAGTGTGTGTCGTCGGCAGGTGGACCAGTACATGTGTCTGTGTAGTGTTGTGAAGTGTGTGTCGTCGGCAGGTGGACCAGTACATGTGTCTGTGTAGTGTTGTGTAAAGTGTGTGTCGTCGGCAGGTGGACCAGTACATGTGTCTGTGTAGTGTTGTGTAAAGAGTGTGTGGTGTCGGCAGGTGGACCAGTACATGTGTCTGTGTAGTGTTGTGTAAAGTGTGTGTCGTCGGCAGGTGGACCAGTACATGTGTCTGTGTAGTGTTGTGTAAAGTGTGTGTCGTCGGCAGGTGGACCAGTACATGTGTCTGTGTAGTGTTGTGTAAAGTGTGTGTCGTCGGCAGGTGGACCAGTACATGTGTCTGTGTAGTGTTGTGTAAAGTGTGTGTCGTCGGCAGGTGGACCAGTACATGTGTCTGTGTAGTGTTGTGTAAAGTGTGTGTCGTCGGCAGGTGGACCAGTACATGTGTCTGTGTAGTGTTGTGTAAAGTGTGTGTCGTCGGCAGGTGGACCAGTACATGTGTCTGTGTAGTGTTGTGTAAAGTGTGTGTCGTCGGCAGGTGGACCAGTACATGTGTCTGTGTAGTGTTGTGTAAAGTGTGTGTCGTCGGCAGGTGGACCAGTACATGTGTCTGTGTAGTGTTGTGAAGTGTGTGTCGTCGGCAGGTGGACCAGTACATGTGTCTGTGTAGTGTTGTGTAAAGTGTGTGTCGTCGGCAGGTGGACCAGTACATGTGTCTGTGTAGTGTTGTGTAAAGTGTGTGTCGTCGGCAGGTGGACCAGTACATGTGTCTGTGTAGTGTTGTGAAGTGTGTGTCGTCGGCAGGTGGACCAGTACATGTGTCTGTGTAGTGTTGTGTAAAGTGTGTGTCGTCGGCAGGTGGACCAGTACATGTGTCTGTGTAGTGTTGTGTAAAGTGTGTGTCGTCGGCAGGTGGACCAGTACATGTGTCTGTGTAAAGTGTGTGTCGTCGGCAGGTGGACCAGTACATGTGTCTGTGTAGTGTTGTGTAAAGTGTGTGTCGTCGGCAGGTGGACCAGTACATGTGTCTGTGTAGTGTTGTGTAAAGTGTATGTCGTCGGCAGGTGGACCAGTACATGTGTCTGTGTAGTGTTGTGAAGTGTGTGTCGTCGGCAGGTGGACCAGTACATGTGTCTGTGTAGTGTTGTGTAAAGTGTGTGTCGTCGGCAGGTGGACCAGTACATGTGTCTGTGTAGTGTTGTGTAAAGTGTGTGTCGTCGGCAGGTGGACCAGTACATGTGTCTGTGTAGTGTTGTGAAGTGTGTGTCGTCGGCAGGTGGACCAGTACATGTGTTTGTGTAGTGTTGTGTAAAGTGTGTGTCGTCGGCAGGTGGACCAGTACATGTGTCTGTGTAGTGTTGTGTAAAGTGTGTGTCGTCGGCAGGTGGACCAGTACATGTGTCTGTGTAGTGTTGTGTAAAGTGTGTGTCGTCGGCAGGTGGACCAGTACATGTGTCTGTGTAGTGTTGTGTAAAGTGTGTGTCGTCGGCAGGTGGACCAGTACATGTGTCTGTGTAGTGTTGTGTAAAGTGTGTGTCGTCGGCAGGTGGACCAGTACATGTGTCTGTGTAGTGTTGTGTAAAGTGTGTGTCGTCGGCAGGTGGACCAGTACATGTGTCTGTGTAGTGTTGTGTAAAGTGTGTGTCGTCGGCAGGTGGACCAGTACATGTGTCTGTGTAGTGTTGTGAAGTGTGTGTCGTCGGCAGGTGGACCAGTACATGTGTCTGTGTAGTGTTGTGTAAAGTGTGTGTCGTCGGCAGGTGGACCAGTACATGTGTCTGTGTAGTGTTGTGTAAAGTGTGTGTCGTCGGCAGGTGGACCAGTACATGTGTCTGTGTAGTGTTGTGAAGTGTGTGTCGTCGGCAGGTGGACCAGTACATGTGTCTGTGTAGTGTTGTGTAAAGTGTGTGTCGTCGGCAGGTGGACCAGTACATGTGTCTGGGCTGTGGTCAGGGCAACGCCGAGGACCGGCTGCTTCTGTGCGACGGCTGCGACGACAGCTACCACACCTTCTGCCTCATCCCTCCACTTCACGACGTGCCCCGCGGAGACTGGAGGTGCCCCAAGTGTCTCGCCCAGGTGCTTCATCTGCCCCATATCTGCCCCATATCTGCCCCATATCTGCCCCATATCATATAACAGAGTTTGGGATTAAACTGGGAGTTAAAGAATATGACACAAGTATAAACACATGAATTAAAGTAGTTAGCCATGCTTCCATATGGTTGTGGTTAGCCATGCTTCTAAATTCAGAAAACCACTTCTGTTCATATTCTCTGTCTGTGAAACATTTCTAAAACAGTATAATGTGTTTCCTGTAGGAATGTGGGAAGCCTCAGGCGGCGTTTGGGTTCGAGCAGGCGAGCCGCAGCTACAACCTCCAGTCCTTTGGAGACATGGCCGATTCTTTCAAGTCCGACTACTTCAACATGCCTGTCCATGTCAGTGGCTATTCTTTTACTGCTGATAGTACGGCCCGGTCCCAGTCCCTGTGGGGGGTGTGTTGGGGTAGGGTTAGGTGGGTGGGGGTGTGTTGGGGTAGGTGGGTGTGGTTAGGTGGGTGTCTGTCCTAGATCTATGGGTGCACTTTTCTGCTGATGGAACTCATACCTCAGTCCCTCAGAATTGGGACTAAAACTACACTATTTATATATTTATTGTAAAAATGTATTTATTGTAAACCTTTGGGAGTGTTTGGACGACGTGTCGAGTGTGAAAGCCTCTGATTTTAAAGTAAAATGTAAAAACCATAAACACTGGTGTCCCAGATGGTTCCCACGGAGCTGGTGGAGAAGGAGTTCTGGCGCCTCGTCAGTACCATCGAGGACGATGTGACGGTGGAGTACGGCGCAGACATCGCCTCCAAAGAGTTCGGGAGCGGGTTTCCTGTGAAGAACGGACACTTCCAGACCTCCCCCGAGGACCAGGTGTTGTAATGATGTCATGATGTCATGTTAAAGTCACAGTGATGTCATGTTAAAGTGTAACCATCTCTCTTAGCACTACGTCAGCAGCGGCTGGAACCTGAACAACATGCCGGTGCTGGACGCCTCGGTTCTGACCCACATCACGGCCGACATCTGTGGCATGAAGCTACCGTGGCTTTACGTGGGCATGTGCTTCTCCTCCTTCTGCTGGCACATCGAGGACCACTGGAGCTACTCCATCAACTACTTACACTGGTAAGACTGGAAACACCTGTTAGCATTGACGTTAGCATTGACGTTAGCATTGACGTTAGCATTGACGTTAGCATTGACGTTAGCATTGACGTTAGCATTGACGTTAGCATTGACGTTAGCATTGATGTTAGCATTGATGTTAGCATTGATGTTAGCATTGATGTTAGCATAGTAGCACAGGCTGATGTGTGTCCTTTCACTGGTAAGAGCGGAGTGTGTGTCCTGACCCTGTGTGTGTGTGTGTGTGTGTGTGTGTCCTGACCCAGTGCACTTGTTTTCAACTCCTGGTGGGTTCCATAACCTGAGATTCCACTCACGTCATGGGGACTGGTTTTACGTGGTGGGGCCCGAACACCGGACCCCACTGGTCCAAGCTTAATAATCAATGGGTAATGCTTTTCTAACGGTCCTTATGCAGTCTCTGTAAAAATATGGAAAGGACCCCTGGAGGTTTACTTTCCTGAAAAAAGTGTGTTATGTGTCGGAACCCTGGTGGTGGGTTGCGGGATATCAGGGAGGGGCACACTGGGGCAATTTCAGTCCAGCAGGCTGGAGCCAATCATGGAGCAGCACAACAGAGGAAATCAGGTGTCAGGCTAGAAAAAGGTGCAAGTGTGTGGTTCATTAGGCTGCAGCCAATCACAGAGCAGCACACTGAAGCGCACGCTTACAAACCACTGGTAAGTGCTGACTACAAGTCATGACTTCAAATTGTTATATAGAATGATTACAAATTACTTGTTGTTTGTGCAGCTTAGTCAAGAGTCCCTAATTGATGAAGTCGACTCAGATTCTGACGATTTAACTGTCAAGAAGAAACCTGTAAAAAAGTATGGAAAAAGAAAAATCAAAAACACTTTTCTTCAAGACTCGGAAAGTGACGAACCAAAGGCAAATAAGATTGTTATCATGCAGCTGCAAAAGAAGAAAAATGGGGGGCGAGTATACAGCAAGAGACACTTCTGCCTCTACTGTTCAATGTCCTGCCACAAAATGTCCCGTCATTTGACTAGAAAACATGGAAATGAAAGTGACGTAGCCAGAGCATTGGCTCTACCTGTGAAATCTAAAGCACGTAAACTTCAGTTTGATTTGATCAGGAATAGTGGAAACCGTGAGCACAATGTTGAGGTTTTAAAGGCCGGCATTGGAACTTTAGTCCCAGCTAAACAGCCAAATTGCCCAGTTAAATCCAGTGAGTTTTTGCACTGTATAGACTGTGGGGCATTGCTTAAGCGAAAGTCGCTGTGGAGGCATGTGGCCAGGTGCCGGCTTTCACAGAAAGATGCCCAGGCTAAACCAGGTAGAAGTAGGGTCCAGTCCCTCTGCTCCCTAGCCCAGCCTGTACCGGAGGGCATCAGCAAAAAGCTGTGGTCTTTAATTTGGGCAATGCATCAGGATGAGGTCACGGGTGTTGTCAAAGCAGAAAAGGGGATTCTGAGACTCGGAGAGCACCTGTACTTAAAACACGGGCATGATAAGACAAAGCATGATTACATTAGGCAGAAAATGAGAGAAGTCGGTAGGTTAATTAACGAAGCAAAAACCGCAGGGAAACTGAAAACAATTAAGGATTTCTTTATTCCTTCCAACTTTAACCATGTGATTGATGCAGTCAGGTCTGTGGCTGGATATGATGAGGAAACAAATCAATACAAGACTCCATCCTTGGCCCTCAAACTCGGCCATAGCCTCAGAAAGCTAGCAGATATTCTTGAATGTGACTCAAAAATGGAGCATTGTGTTGATGAACTATTTATTAAAAACCTCCAACGAAGCCGGCTGCTTTTTGAGAAGAGGTGGGACGTCTGTGTTTCTTCTGCTGCCCTACAGACCCTCCGGCAAGCCAAGTGGAACACTCCGGACCTGCTCCCTCTGACTGAGGACGTTAGAGCCATGCATGCACATATTGAGGTATGTCGACCTGAATATGTGCAAACCCTAATAAGTGAGCCAACGTCTAAGCATTGGTCTAAACTGGCAGTTTTGACTCTTTGTGAGGTCATCATTTTCAATCGAAGAAGGGAAGGTGAGGTTTCAAAGATGCCACTGACAGCCTTTACCTTAAGAAGTAAGACTGGGATCCATTCTGACATTGCTCTGGGACTGTCCCAACTTGAGAAAAAGCTGTGTCAGCATTTTCAACGCATTGAAATTAAAGGGAAAAGAAGTCGGAAAGTGCCGGTTCTTTTGACTCCTGAAATGATTGCTTCGATGGAGGTGCTGGTGGAGAACAGAAGGGCCTGTTCCATCTCTGACCATAACCCATACTTCTTTTCCCGCCCGGGCGCAGACACCCACATCAGGGGATCAGACTCCCTACGCCAGGTAGCCAAAGAATGTGGTGCGGTGCATCCAGAGATGCTATCCTCAACCAAACTTAGAAAGCACATAGCTACTATGTCTACAGTTCTCAATATGAAAGAGAATGAGATGGACATACTTGCCAACTTCCTCGGCCATGACATTCGCATCCACAGGCAATATTACAGACTACCAGAGGGGACACTGGAGCTGGCCAAAATCAGCAAAGTGTTGATGGCCATGGAGCAGGGAAGAGTGACGGAATTCGAAGGAAAGAGCCTCGACCAGATACAAATTGAGCCTGAAGGTAATTCTTGATATTATTAAAATATGTATGATTTTTTTCCCCTAAAGGCCACTTGTATTTTTATTTTCTGTGCGACAGGGAGAGCAGTAGAGATCCTCTCACAAACGGACGGGCTAAAAGAAACTTCAAGCGGAGAACCTTCAACCATTCATCCAGATGCACCCCATGGTAGTGGCAGTGCCCCTTCTGGTAAGTGTACCAGGTGGGGGATTACAGCCAGGCTGCTTGGTCCTCACCCTGGGAGTGTATATTGCTAATATATTTTTATTTCTCTCCCTAGAACGTTAGAGAAAGCCATGGTCTGCATCTGAGGTGAAGGCTGTGGAGAAGACCATGACACCTTTCATACAGACTGGAAAGGTCCCTGGGAAGTCTCACTGCCTGGCCTGGCCTGGCCTGGCCTGGCCTGGCCTGCATTAATGCCTCACCAGATGACCTTAGACATCGGACATGGAGTGGCATTAAATTCTATGTCAAAAATAGAATCACTGCAATTCGAAAACAAAATCTAAAATAAAATTCCTTTAAAATAGTTGTTTGGTTTCTATTGACTGTTTTGTATTACTTAAAGTCTTGGTAAAAAAAGATTATGTCTATGGGTCCCATTCTGAACGGCCCTGTCAAAGGGACCCACCAGGTAACAAAAACGTGTATGTGTGTGTGTGTGTGTGTGTGTGTGTGTCCTGACCCAGTGTGTGTGTGTGTGTGTGTCCTGACCCTGTGTGTGTGTGTGTCCTGACCCAGTGTGTGTGTGTGTGTCCTGACCCAGTGTGTGTGTGTGTGTCCTGACCCAGTGTGTGTGTGTGTGTGTGTCTTGACCCAGTGTGTGTGTGTGTGTGTGTCCTGACCCAGTGTGTGTGTGTGTGTGTGTCCTGACCCAGTGTGTGTGTGTGTGTGTCCTGACCCAGTGTGTGTGTGTCCTGACCCTGTGTGTGTGTGTGTCCTGACCCAGTGTGTGTGTGTGTGTGTCCTGACCCAGTGTGTGTGTGTGTGTGTGTGTGTGTGTGTCCTGACCCAGTGTGTGTGTGTGTGTGTGTCCTGACCCAGTGTGTGTGTGTGTCTCCAGGGGGGAGCCTAAGACGTGGTACGGAGCTCCTGGTTTTGCAGCTGAGCGTCTGGAGTCTGTGATGAAGAAACTGGCTCCAGAACTGTTCGAGTCTCAGCCCGACCTCCTGCACCAGCTGGTCACCATCATGAACCCCAACACACTCATGAGCCACGGCGTCCCGGTGACTACACAACACACACACACCATCATGAACCCCAACACACTCATGAGCCACGGCGTCCCGGTGACTACACAACACACACACACCATCATGAACCCCAACACACTCATGAGCCACGGCGTCCCGGTGACTACACAACACACACACACCATCATGAACCCCAACACACTCATGAGCCACGGCGTCCCGGTGACTACACAACACACACACACCATCATGAACCCCAACACACTCATGAGCCACGGCGTCCCGGTGACTACACAACACACACACACCATCATGAACCCCAACACACTCATGAGCCACGGCGTCCCGGTGACTACACAACACACACACCATCATGAACCCCAACACACTCATGAGCCACGGCGTCCCGGTGACTACACAACACACACACACCATCATGAACCCCAACACACTCATGAGCCACGGCGTCCCGGTGACTACACAACACACACACACACCATCATGAACCCCAACACACTCATGAGCCACGGCGTCCCGGTGACTACACAACACACACACACCATCATGAACCCCAACACACTCATGAGCCACGGCGTCCCGGTGACTACACAACACACACACACCATCATGAACCCCAACACACTCATGAGCCACGGCGTCCCGGTGACTACACAACACACACACACACATCATGAACCCCAACACACTCATGAGCCACGGCGTCCCGGTGACTACACAACACACACACCATCATGAACCCCAACACACTCATGAGCCACGGCGTCCCGGTGACTACACAACACACACACACCATCATGAACCCCAACACACTCATGAGCCACGGCGTCCCGGTGACTACACAACACACACACACCATCATGAACCCCAACACACTCATGAGCCACGGCGTCCCGGTGACTACACAACACACACACACACATCATGAACCCCAACACACTCATGAGCCACGGCGTCCCGGTGACAACACAACACACACACACCATCATGAACCCCAACACACTCATGAGCCACGGCGTCCCGGTGACTACACAACACACACACACCATCATGAACCCCAACACACTCATGAGCCACGGCGTCCCGGTGACTACACAACACACACACACCATCATGAACCCCAACACACTCATGAGCCACGGCGTCCCGGTGACTACACAACACACACACACCATCATGAACCCCAACACACTCATGAGCCACGGCGTCCCGGTGACTACACAACACACACACACCATCATGAACCCCAACACACTCATGAGCCACGGCGTCCCGGTGACTACACAACACACACACACCATCATGAACCCCAACACACTCATGAGCCACGGCGTCCCGGTGACTACACAACACACACACACCATCATGAACCCCAACACACTCATGAGCCACGGCGTCCCGGTGACTACACAACACACACACACACCATCATGAACCCCAACACACTCATGAGCCACGGCGTCCCGGTGACTACACAACACACACACACATCATGAACCCCAACACACTCATGAGCCACGGCGTCCCGGTGACTACACAACACACACACACCATCATGAACCCCAACACACTCATGAGCCACGGCGTCCCGGTGACTACACAACACACACACACATCATGAACCCCAACACACTCATGAGCCACGGCGTCCCGGTGACTACACAACACACACACACACCACACCATCATGAACCCCAACACACTCATGAGCCACGGCGTCCCGGTGACTACACAACACACACACACCATCATGAACCCCAACACACTCATGAGCCACGGCGTCCCGGTGACTACACAACACACACACACACATCATGAACCCCAACACACTCATGAGCCACGGCGTCCCGGTGACTACACAACACACACACACCATCATGAACCCCAACACACTCATGAGCCACGGCGTCCCGGTGACTACACAACACACACACACCATCATGAACCCCAACACACTCATGAGCCACGGCGTCCCGGTGACTACACAACACACACACCCATCATGAACCCCAACACACTCATGAGCCACGGCGTCCCGGTGACTACACAACACACACACACCATCATGAACCCCAACACACTCATGAGCCACGGCGTCCCGGTGACTACACAACACACACACACCATCATGAACCCCAACACACTCATGAGCCACGGCGTCCCGGTGACTACACAACACACACACACCCATCATGAACCCCAACACACTCATGAGCCACGGCGTCCCGGTGACTACACAACACACACACCATCATGAACCCCAACACACTCATGAGCCACGGCGTCCCGGTGACTACACAACACACACACACCATCATGAACCCCAACACACTCATGAGCCACGGCGTCCCGGTGACTACACAACACACACACACCATCATGAACCCCAACACACTCATGAGCCACGGCGTCCCGGTGACTACACAACACACACACACACCATCATGAACCCCAACACACTCATGAGCCACGGCGTCCCGGTGACTACACAACACACACACACCATCATGAACCCCAACACACTCATGAGCCACGGCGTCCCGGTGACTACACAACACACACACCATCATGAACCCCAACACACTCATGAGCCACGGCGTCCCGGTGACTACACAACACACACACACCCATCATGAACCCCAACACACTCATGAGCCACGGCGTCCCGGTGACTACACAACACACACACACCATCATGAACCCCAACACACTCATGAGCCACGGCGTCCCGGTGACTACACAACACACACACACACCATCATGAACCCCAAACACTCATGACACACCCGTCATGAGCCACCATCATGAACCCCAACACACTCATGAGCCACGCGTCCCGTGACTACACAACCATGAACCCCAACACACTCATGGTGACTACACAACACACACACCCATCATGAACCCCAACACACTCATGAGCCACGGCGTCCCGGTGACTACACAACACACACACACCATCATGAACCCCAACACACTCATGAGCCACGGCGTCCCGGTGACTACACAACACACACACACACCATCATGAACCCCAACACACTCATGAGCCACGGCGTCCCGGTGACAACACAACACACACACACCATCATGAACCCCAACACACTCATGAGCCACGGCGTCCCGGTGACTACACAACACACACACACCATCATGAACCCCAACACACTCATGAGCCACGGCGTCCCGGTGACTACACAACACACACACACCATCATGAACCCCAACACACATGAGCCACGGCGTCCCGGTGACTACACAACACACACACACACCATCATGAACCCCAACACACTCATGAGCCACGGCGTCCCGGTGACTACACAACACACACACACACCATCATGAACCCCAACACACTCATGAGCCACGGCGTCCCGGTGACTACACAACACACACACACACCATCATGAACCCCAACACACTCATGAGCCACGGCGTCCCGGTGACTACACAACACACACACACACCATCATGAACCCCAACACACTCATGAGCCACGGCGTCCCGGTGACTACACAACACACACACCATCATGAACCCCAACACACTCATGAGCCACGGCGTCCCGGTGACTACACAACACACACACACCATCATGAACCCCAACACACTCATGAGCCACGGCGTCCCGGTGACTACACAACATTACAATTGTTATTGATTCCATCTTCTTCCCCTTAATCCATTCCTGGGGCGACGGTGACAGTCAGAGCTGCTTTTGGCCAAAACACAAATGTGTTAAATGTATTAAACATGTCTTAAAGGCGTGTTGTAAAGGCGTGTTCCTGGCGTGTTTGTGTGCAGATATTTCGGACCAATCAGTGCGCAGGAGAGTTTGTCATCACGTTCCCCAGAGCCTATCACAGCGGATTCAACCAAGGATTCAACTTCGCTGAGGCTGTCAACTTCTGCACCATGGACTGGGTAACACAAACACACTAACACACAACACTAGTACACAACTGGGTAAGACAGATGGGTGCGGAGGTGGGCGCGGAGGTGGGCGCGGAGGTGGGCGCGGAGGTGGGCGCGGAGGTGGGCGCGGAGGTGGGCGCGGAGGTGGGCGCGGAGGTGGGCGCGGAGGTGGGCGCGGAGGTGGGTGCGGAGGTGGGCGCGGAGGTGGGCGCGGGCAAGATCCAGCAGAGAGCAGCAAAGTGGTCACAGACACCCCGGTCCAAACTGGACCAGGACTGAACCAGGACTGAGGATGGGGCTCAGAGCTGGTGAACATACTGTATGTATGTCCTGTATATACTGTACACGCGTCGCTACAAGTAGCGACGCTACAAGTAGCGTCACTATTTACAAAACATAGTAACTTTTCTGTAGCTAAGCTATATTATTGCTCAAGTAGCGCGGTAGCGTCCGCCAAAGCTATTTTCTCACGGACATCTCTGATGTTCATATATTACAGCATTTTCCCGCAGCATAAAACAAACATATAGAAAGACAGAATGCTGATGCGCATGCGCAGGGCTTGGTAACAACACACACACACGAACGTACGCGCACACACACACATGCGCGCGCTACTGGGGGAAGCAAAAGCATGGCAGAGAGCCCAGGAGCCGCTGCGGTGGAGGAGGACCATGATAAGGACTCTCAAAGTGTTGTACCGTGGCCATACCTCCAAAAGTACGTCACTCTAGTCGAGATGAGCGAAAAGAAATATGTTTTCAGATGCCTACTCTTTGTTGTTTTTGGTGTTTTGGGCTATTGTTCAATAAATATCTAAAACAATTTAACCTTTATCTGACTGACAGTTTATCTCAAATAAGAAGATAAACTTTATTAATCTCACACAGGAGAAATGTACATGTCACATTTGGCATGGATAAAACACTCAAGAATTGTGCAAAAAATAAGAAATGAGCAAACATGTTAATGCAGGAAAATATAAAATTGCATGAACTGCAGTTTGTTTAATTGAAAATAGCTTCTATATAGCAAGCTACTTTTGACAGAATTTTGTAACTTAGCTTGCTACATTTGTATGGGTGGTAGCTTCTGTGCAGTGAAGCTGAATTTATTGTAGAGTAGCTTGTAGCTTAGCTCACTACACAAATCAAGTAGCTTGCCCATCACTGCTGTACACACATACATATGTACACACATCTACACACGTACACATGTACACACGTACACATGTACACACGTACACATGTACACACGTACACATCTACACACGTACACATGTACACACGTACACATGTACACACGTACACATGTACACATGTACACACGTACACATCTACACACGTACACATCTACACACGTACACATCTACACACGTACACATGTACACACGTACACATGTACACACGTACACATGTACACACGTACACATGTACACACGTACACATCTACACACGTACACATGTACACATGTACACACGTACACATGTACACACGTACACATCTACACACGTACACATCTACACACGTACACATCTACACACGTACACATGTACACACGTACACATGTACACACGTACACATCTACACATGTACACACGTACACATCTACACACGTACACATCTACACACGTACACATCTACACACGTACACATCTACACACGTACACATGTACACACGTACACATGTACACACGTACACATGTACACACGTACACATGTACACACGTACACATGTACACACGTACACATCTACACACGTACACATGTACACACGTACACACGTACACATGTACACACGTACACATGTACACACGTACACATGTATACACGTACACATGTATACACGTACACATGTACACATGTACACACGTACACACGTACACATGTACACATGTACACACGTACACACGTACACACGTACACATGTACACACGTACACACGTACACATGTACACACGTACACACGTACACATACACATGTACACACATACACACATACACATGTGCACAAGTACACATGTACACACGTACACACGTACACATGTACACATGTACACATGTACACATGTACACACGTACACATGTACACACGTACACACGTACACACGTACACATACACATGTACACATGTACACATGTACACATGTACACATGTACACACGTACACATGTACACACGTACACACGTACACATGTACACATGTACACACGTACACACGTACACACGTACACACGTACACACGTACACATGCACACGTACACATGTACACACGTACACATGTACACACGTACACACGTACACACGTACACATGTACACATGTACACATGTACACATGTACACACGTACACATGTACACACGTACACATGTACACATGTACACATGTACACATGTACACATGTACACATGTACACACGTACACATGTACACACGTACACACGTACACACGTACACACGTACACACGTACACACGTACACACGTACACACGTACACACGTACACACGTACACACGTACACACGTACACATGTACACACGTACACATGTACACACGTACACATGTACACACGTACACATGTACACACGTACACATGTACACACGTACACATGTACACACGTACACATGTACACACGTACACATGTACACACGTACACATGTACACACGTACACATGTACACACGTACACATGTACACACGTACACATGTACACACGTACACATGTACACACGTACACATGTACACACGTACACATGTACACACGTACACATGTACACATGTACACATGTACACACGTACACATCTACACACATACACACATACACACGTGCACAAGTACACATCTACACATACACAAGTACACACGTACACATGTACACATGTACACACGTACACATACACATGTACACACGTACACATACACATGTACACACGTACACATGTACACATGTACACATGTACACATGTACACATGTACACACGTACACACGTACACGCGTACACACGTACACACGTACACACGTACACACGTACACATGTACACATGTACACACATACACACATACACACATACACATGTACACGTGTCACATGTCTTGCTTTTTGCAGATGCCGATTGGCCGCAGCTGCATTGAGCACTACAGGGGGCTCAGTAGATATTGCGTGTTCTCCCATGATGAGATGGTCTGTAACATGGCTGTGAAAGCGGCCAACATGGAGGTCAATCTGGCCTCGGTTCTGACTAAAGAAGTGGAAGACATGGTTCGAGAGGAGGAGGAGCTCAGGAACAAAGCCTCACAACTGGTGAGTATAAAACCCACCATCTGTCAATGTGTTTTTGTATTGCTCCTCCTCTCACACATGTCTCCTCCCCCTCTCACATGTCTCCTCCCCCTCACACATGTCTCCTCCCCCTCTCACATGTCTCCTCCTCTCACATGTCTCCTCCCTCTCACATGTCTCCTCCCCCTCTCACATGTCTCCTCCCTCTCACATGTCTCCTCCCTCTCACATGTCTCCTCCCTCTCACATGTCTCCTCCCTCTCACATGTCTCCTCCCCCTCTCACATGTCTCCTCCCTCTCACATGTCTCCTCCCCCTCTCACATGTCTCCTCCCCCTCTCACATGTCTCCTCCCTCTCACATGTCTCCTCCCTCTCACATGTCTCCTCTCACATGTCTCCTCTCACATGTCTCCTCTCACATGTCTCCTCCCCCTCTCACATGTCTCCTCCCTCTCACATGTCTCCTCCCCCTCTCACATGTCTCCTCCCTCTCACATGTCTCCTCCCTCTCACATGTCTCCTCACTCTCACATGTCTCCTCCCCCTCTCACATGTCTCCTCCCCCTCTCACATGTCTCCTCCCCCTCTCACATGTCTCCTCCCTCTCTCACATGTCTCCTCTCACATTTCTCCACCCCCTCTCACATGTCTCCTCCCCCTCTCACATGTCTCCTCCCCCTCTCACATGTCTCCTCCCCCTCTCACATGTCTCCTCCCCCTCTCACATGTCTCCTCCCTCTCACATGTCTCCCCCCTCTCACATGTCTCCCCCCTCTCACATGTCTCCTCCCTCTCACATGTCTCCTCCCTCTCACATGTCTCCTCCCCCTCTCACATGTCTCCCTCCTCTCACATGTCTCCTCTCTCTCACATGTCTCCTCTCTCTCACATGTCTCCTCCCTCTCACGTGTCTCCTCCCTCTCACGTGTCTCCTCCCTCTCACGTGTCTCCTCCCCCTCTCACGTGTCTCCTCCCCCTCTCACGTGTCTCCTCCCTCTCACGTGTCTCCTCCCCCTCTCACATGTCTCCTCCCCCTCTCACATGTCTCCTCTCACATGTCTCCTCCCTCTCTCACATGTCTCCTCCCCCTCTCACATTTCTCCTCCCCCTCACATTTCTCCTCCCCCTCACATGTCTCCTCCCCCTCTCACATGTCTCCTCCCCCTCTCACATGTCTCCTCCCTCTCTCACATGTCTCCTCTCTCACATTTCTCCTCCCTCTCTCACATGTCTCCTCCTCCTCTCACTTCCTCCTCCCCCTCACATGTCTCCTCCCCCTCTCACATGTCTCCTCCCCTCTCACATGTCTCCTCCCCCTCTCACATGTCCTCCTCCTCCCCCCCCCTCTCACATGTCTCCTCCCCCTCTCACATGTCTCCTCCCTCTCACATGTCTCCTCCCCCTCTCACGTCTCCTCCCTCTCACATGTCTCCTCCCTCTCACATTTCTCCTCCCCCTCCCCCCTCCCCCTCACATGTCTCCTCCCCTTCTCACATGTCTCCTCCCCCTCTCTCACATGTCTCCTCTCCCATGTCTCCTCTCACATGTCTCCTCCCCCTCTCACATGTCTCCTCCTAATAGCCCCCAGAGCGCCAGAATATGCTTCGGATCATTTCATTTCTGCTAAGTAAAATCAATTTGATGGCGGATTCAGTGTTATTTTTCCGAAACAAACCGAAGTTTACGGATAAAACAATCTGTCTGATGCAACGTGGGGTTGCTCCATAGACTGTAGCTTAGCTTTGTAGCACTTAGCTGTTAATATATTTGTTCCTCACAACAGGACCTCACCCGGTTCAAGGGGTATCTGACTTACCGAAGGCAGCAGACATTTGTGAACGACTGAGCCGGTGCTCGGGAGGGTGCCCGTATAGTATTTATTATCAAATATACGGCTCCTCACAGTTAGCGCAGAAAGAACGCTCATGATTTGAATGATAATCTCATTATTTCCACTGCAGAGTTGCCACCATAGATCCCATGGTTTTGAACACAATAAACCCATAAATGTTAATCGGAGAATACATGTATACATATACCTTTCTTAATACAACGCCTGCACAGAGGTTTTTCAGAATTTTCTGTCCCGTTTCTCATGAAAAAAACACTGTGTTTAAATGCGACATTATGCGACCGCGGGGTATAAACCTGGATGTACCGATAAACATTTAATAATACAATTTTAGGAGCATTCCAGAGGATTTGATTCATGAATTTAGGATTGAGTTATATTTGTGGGTCACTACTGCATGAAGTTTCAATTCTATGTTCAGTTTTCACTGTAGTTCGAGAGATTTCTGTTTTGAACGTCCAGAGTTATAGGATAGCTGCAAGGGCAGTTACTTGCGGAGGTTGTCCTCAAGTATCCGACTGCCGTGGCTCTGCTCGTCACGTGACCGTAGGATCCTCTATATAATTCCTGTACACCTACAGGAGGAGAGCTTTTGACTACAAAACAGACAAGACTTTACATGGTTTTCAATGGGAGCCAAAACGGATTGTCCACTCTCTGGCTCATAAACTACAACAGTAATGCGCCTGCAGGTTGCGTGTTCTTTGTGTCTATACTTTTGTCCCCCCCCCCCCCCCGTTTTTTTTCTTATTGTTGTTTTATTTTTTGTTTCAAAAATCCCAACACGGTTGTAAACTTTTGTCGCTAACTCACCCTGTGTTTTCATCACGATACTGGTCACATAGTGAAAAGCACCAGCCTCACAGGTGACTGTCGCCACCGCAACCATAGACTGTATATTTAATGGACAGAGTCACGGCCTATCCCGCCGCTTCATAGGAGTAGGCCATGAAACGTGCTTTCATGGAGCATATATCCAAGATGGCGCGAGTGGTCCCGCCACACAAGAAATTGTCAAAAAACGCATCTGCGCATGCGTTAGCCGGCCGCAGCTCATTCATTTGAACGAGAGACTTCAAAAATTTCCCGCGACGATTGCGTCAGCTGTGAGACTACCGTGGCGGTGACTCGTTGCCAGGGGGCGCGGTGAACCGGCGGACTGTCAACGGGAGAAAGGAGGAAGAGGCTCCTCCTCTTCCTCCTTTCTCCTTGAGGGCGAAAGCACCGGAGAGAGCACAGGCGTCCTCTACCACCAGCGCGGGCGAGGGAAGACTCAGCGCGCAAACTGTTCCGCGGCGGAGAGGCCCTGCAGTACGGATCGGACCACGGAGGAGCTCGGCACTGCGTTTGGAGAAGGCTAAGCGTGGTGAGCAGTTCTGATTGTGCGCGACATAATGGCGCACAGACAACACGTTTGGGAACAGGACACGGAATGTGCTGTGGAGACTGCAAATAAGAACACTGTAAAATGTATCTTTAATTTCATAATCTGAATAAAATGATTATATTTGCCACAATTTCACTCTTTGTACATTTTTGAATCTTCCACACACACAAGCATCGTCATTCAAAGTTACTGTCCCCCCAACCGATGATGTGTAGAATATTCTTATGCGCTACGTTTTGACATCTTTTTATGTCTTCTTTAGGCGAGATCTACACGTTAACTTTTTCAACAATAAGGAGGATTAAGGCTGTTACCGTGACGACAGTGGAGCTCGTCACTCTGGTATCATCAGAACCACGTCTGAAACGGTAGTTCTGATCAATAATACCATAAATAGGGCACAAATTACAGTTACTTTTAACAACATTTGACCCTTTGTTGTCATTTTGGTCATTTATTGAGCTGTAAACAACAAAAAGTTCAGACCCATGCTCCTGGGGGAGCTCCGTAGCGTTGAGCTAAGTTCCGTGCTTTAAATTAGGTATGACATGTCCACAGGGGCGACAGTAGCTCAGTTGGTAGAGCATTGGCCTTAAGGCCAGAAGGTCGTGGGTTCAATTCCCACCTCTGCACCTTCTCCACCTTCAAGATCAAGGCTATGCTCACAGTCAGAGAGCAGCCGTCCTCCTGTGGACTCACCACCTGCAGAGGGTCAGTGAGGGGCTGGTGCTATGAGACTTGGGTGGCATCTCTGACTGTCACCCCCCTGACCCAGAAATGGATTAAAGGGTAGAAAATGGATGGATGGATGGATGTCCACAATGATTTGCTTTTGAAGTAAAAGTAATCATTTTTAATTCATCCATCAATTTTTTTCCCCTTAGTCCATTCTCCACAGGGGTTTCAGGCAAAGTGGGGTTAAGTGTCTTGCCCAAGGACAAGTGTGAGGTCTATTGTAGGCCCGAAGACCAATGCTCTACCAACTGCTATTTGCTTTATTTTTTATTTTTTTTATTTTTTATTCAATTAAATTCTATTCATTTAGTGTTAGCAAAGCAGAGGGCCCCAGAAAATGACACAGAGGACCGCAATTTGCCCCCGCGCCTTAGTTTGGACATGTCTGGTTTAGAAAGTTATATGCAGTTTTAATTCAGAATATATACTTTTCAAACCACACACAAACAATGGAACTATGAAATACAATAGTTATCCCTCAAAACATTCTAATCTGGAGGCAATACTTTTGTTTTAAAAGACAGAAAACGACAAAGAAGCTTCACTCTTGTTATTATTAAAGTTTAGACTAAGTAGGAAAATTTCATTGTTGCATCACGAGTTACAGACCAGTCAAAATGAGAAGTGCACAGCAAAAGATAAAAGAATTTTAAGTATATCCCAACACAATACTTTAAACATAAAATTAAATTAAAAATGTATATTATTTTAATATGTTTTATGCAAAGTATTGTCCGTCGTGTGACTTGGGTGTAGTTTTTTAACCTTCTTCCTCAGACACACAAATGTAAGTTTTATTGCTGTCTGAATTATGGGTAGATATAGGTCATGATGCGGGTTGAATGTGTGTGTGTGTTGTTTTGACCCAACAGCCCGTGTCTCTCAGTGCAGAGGTGTGAGGAAGAGGACCTGTGTTTTTGCTCAGTGTGAATGAGGCTTAAGTGGTGTTTGCTGGTACTTTAATATAATAATTCAAAGTACCAGTAATTGGTATAATAATTTTTGAGGTTTGTCTAAAAGTGATTGTCAGTGGGATGTTCCAGTGTGTAGTTTGTTGTGTGGCTGTTGTGCGTCAGTGTTGCGTGTTGTGTGGCGTGTCGCTCTCTGGACAGGAGCTGGACAGGTCGACACAGCTCTGGAATAACAATCAGCCTCAAGCGTCTCACAAGGCCTTCCCCGGATGCACTTAAAATATACAAACACACACACATTCAGTATACACACACATATTCCCACACACACACACATATGCCCACCCATACGGGTGGGCATATGTGTGGCGGCACGGTGGCTGAGTGGATAGCACTCTCGCCTCTCAGCAAGAAGGTCCTGGGTTCTAATCCCGGTTGGACCAGGGCCTTTCTCCACTCAGTAAACTCCACTCAGGGCCTTTCTGAGCGGAGTTTTCATGTTCTTCCCGTGTCTGCGTAGGTTTCCTCCGGGTGCTCCGGTTTCCCCTACCACTAAAAATATGTACAATAGGTCTGGCATGTGCCTCCTGTACTGGCACCCCCACACAAAATAACAATTGTAAACCGCTTTGAGACTCCGATGTGCAGTGAAAAGGCGGTGGGTATATAAATAAAGATTACTTACTTACTACCACACACACACATACATATATGCACAGTCCACAACTTATACAGTGCATACACACACCATACTTACACAAATACAATCATCACACATGCACACACACGCACATGTACACATACACAGCTGAGGAGAATCTCCAAAGTCAGGAAAATGGTTTCTCAGAATGACTTGGAGGTGATTATTCATGCTTTTGTGTCTTTGCGTTTAGACTATTGTAACAGTCTGTTTTTATAAGAAAATAAGAAAGAACTGTCTCGCCTGCAGTTAGTACAGAACTCTGCAGCGAGAATCGTGACCCGCACAAGCAGGAGGAGCACATCACCCCTGTCCTGAAAGCTCTTCATTGGCTGCCAGTGTCCTACAGGATACATTTTAAAATTCTGGTTTTAACCTTCAGAGCTTTGCATGGTCAGGCAACACCCCAGCCAGGGCTCTGAGGTCTGTGGATCAGAACCTCCTGATGGTTCCACGCACTCGCTTCAGGACCAGAGGAGACAGGTCCCTCCAGGCTGTTGCTCCCAAGCTTTGGAACATTCTCCCGCTCTCTCTGCGTTCTATATAGTCTGTTGAGTCCTTCAAAAGTCAACTTAAAACTCATCTATTTGTTCAGGCTTTTACATAATTTTGTCTTTCTGTTTTTACATGGTTGTCTTGGCCTTTCAAAATGTGTATGTCTATTTTATAAAATGTCTGTTTTTATATGTGTGTAAAGCGCTTTGTGACCCTGGTCTGTGAAGGGCGCTTTATAAATAAAGTTTACTTACTTACTTACTTACTTACACACACTCCACAACTTATACACACACACCACACACACACAAACACATGCACAGATTCATACACAGATTCAATCATGTACACACACCACACACATGTACATACATACACACACACACACAGACCAAACAGTCTCTGACCCTACATCTCTTCTCAATCGCTCTCTCTTTATCCCTGGAAACATTTAGCAGAATATTATATTTCTTCTGCACCATCAGGAGAAATGTTCTTTTACTACCACAGACCCACCTTGTGCCTATATAGGACTTCCTGCTCTGGACAGAGCAGTCGCATTCTCTTGCTGCTCCTCGCTTGCTGCTTTTTTATCTCCTTTAATCATTTTTGCTTACATTTTTATTCCACAAAACACGGATTACTCCTTTTTACAAACTTCAACACAAGACTTGTGGAATTTACCTAACTTACAGCATGTCGGGAGGACGGGAAAAAAGAACAAAACTTTGCGACGGCTGTTTTTCACTCAAACAGGAGCTAAAACTTCTTCAAGACCGAATGTTTGTGCTTGAATCAGAATTGGGGCTGAACACAACAATACCAGTGAAAGGAAATGGACCAAATGGACAAAACCTAAGTTATGATGACGCTATTTCATTTCCCAAAATCAACAGAGACAATTGTTGGAACACATATGGTGCCAAGCCCAAACAAGGCAAAGCTAATGATAACAAGAGTGTCATAATGCCACAGCAAAAATCTTTAATTACAAGAAACCGCTTTTCACCACTTTTGGAAGATGAATCAGCAGTAGTCTCTCAGTCTCAGTCTCAGTCAAGGTCAAATGCAGCTGAGTCGCTCTTTATCGGGGATTCTGCGATAAGACATGTAAACATGCGTAATCTGAAGGTTCACTCAGTACACTCTGCCAAAGTGGATGAGATAAGGCGGTTGGCTCCGAGGCTTCTGTCTGAGACCGGCGGGGTAAAAAGATTGTTGATCCACGTGGGGGCAGTAGATGTCTATGACAACACAAGTGAAAAGTTGAAACGGGATTACTCTCTCTTATTGGACGACCTTGCTAAAATGGACGCAACAATCGTTATCAGTGGCCCACTACCAAATGTGGACGGGAAGCAAATGAAATTCAGTCGTCTGTATCAGCTAAATACTTTCCTACTCAACGAATGTTCACGCAGAGGACTTGCCTTCATTGAGAATTTTAATCTGTTCTGGAATAGGCACGGGCTCTCTTCCAGACTCTGGATTTTGGCCCCGTCCCAACACTCGCACTTCCACCTCGCGCCCCTCATTTGCGCGTTCCCGATAAAGGGTGCGAGTGCGTAGGGTGTCCCACTTCTCCAGGGAGGTCTTTGGCCCCGCCCCCTTTGCGCCCCTGATCCACACTTCGCCGTAGCCTGCATCTATGCGCACTCTGGCGAAGGATATTGCCCATAATTCTTTTCTAATTCAACACCAAAACGTCGGGAAAATGCAAATTTTGAAATATATATGCAGTATATGTGTAAATAAGTTTTGCTATGTTACTTGGAAAGAAGCATAAACGTCTGATGAAGAATTACGGACATTGTGTTTTAATAATTTAATAAATTTTAAAGCAAGCGTTTATATAACATTCAATTTAAACTTTACACTTAGTACAATAATCTTAGAATGTATAAAAACTGACCAGATAGTTAGTTACCCACATTTAACTTAAAATTATACAGCTATCTCTAATTAAAAGCAACTAATATACATGGATTTTAACGTGTGTGAAGCAATTCAATTTGTTTCCCAAAGGGTCAGACAAAATTACCTTTAATGTTTATAAAGTTTAGGTCTGAAAATGACCATCTCTTGACGAGTCGAAGACGTAACCTGCACTCAGTGTGCACTGTCCCAATTCTGCCTTTTTTGCACACTTGTAACCTGCGCACTCCAACCCTGGTGTGCACTTCGAACAAATGCACACTTCGTGGAAGTGTGTAGGGTGCAGTGTGGGTATTGGGACGGGGCCGAAGTGACAGCACTTTCTGTTTCAACAAATGTATTTGGAAAACTGACCGCCATAATAATGTTCATATTAACCATTTGTCTTTCTGTGTTCAGTTTTGTTCATGAGAATGTAGAATAGACATGGAGCAAAATCCCACTGGCACAAAGCCACTGATAATGAAAGCAAACCACAGTATAGAGAGATTTATTAGATAAAAACATATGTTTAAGAATATGGCTTAATAAAAGCAAATATGCAAACATATTTGTAAATAGATTAGAATAGTTTTAAACTATAGTGAGTAGTTTTAGTGCATACATTACAGACGAGGTAGATGAAGAATCAGAATGACACAGCAGTGGTCATCAAATAGTATTGAAGGAATGTTTCAAATGTGGTTGTGTGTTGTATTCTCTCTGTATTAACTCATCACAGATATCGAGCCTGAACTAAGCACAAGTTATGTTGGCGAGGATGGAAGATCTCCCCGTCCTGTCACCCGAGAGGGGTTGTTGAAAAGTGTGACCTATTTAATAATAGGTCAAGAGAGGGAATGTTGTAGAATTAAAATGTTGTATACTAATTATTTTAATAAATAGGCCTTCTGTAGACCTGTGCACTCAGGGCAGCCCCAAGGACACCAGAGGAATAAAAAAGGGTCAAATCGAGAGCTATATCAGTCACTAGATACCTGCCTTCAAACCAAGGCGAATTATTAACTTTAAATAATAAACATTATCTGCTTCCCTCTCTGACGAGATCAAAGTTCAAACCACAATCAGGCAGACTGGGGATTCACCAACCGCATTCTGAAGCCTCCCAGTGGACAAGGGGCGCCAGCACACCCAAATTGAACATTCGGAGACGCATAGAGATGACGTCATCGGAAGGTCCCTACTTATGACCTTCCCCAAGTTTTTGAGTTTAGTCAGAAACAGGGCGAGTCTCAGGGACATAGTTAGAATAGGAGCCTTTTGTTGAATTTCTGTATCTGATTGTAAAGATAAATTAAATACAGATGTTAAACTTGGAAAATCTTCGTCTTGTTTTCTGCATCAAACTTTGAACACGTCTGTCAAATCTTTTTTGACAACAGGGTCCATAACGGACCGATCAGCTAGGGCGAGAAAAACTAGTCGAGGCCCCTTTCAAAAGGGGCCCGTCGAAAAACGACTAAAAGATGAGGTCCGTTACGGGCACCCTCTATCTTTTAACATGGGGACAAGCCCCTAACAGAAGCCGTTTCCCTCGGGATACTGACGTATATTGACGACTGGCTGATCCTGACCTCCTCTCGGGAGGAGGTGCAGGTGTTGAACCATGTTGCCCAACTAGGGTTTGTGATCAATATGGACAGAGGCTCCTTGTGCCCTGCCCAGGATATCTCATATCTGGGACTGGTCTTTAATCACTTTCCCCGGAGAGACAAGCGGCGGTTCAGAACCTGGGCCGGATCGTTCTGGGCAAACCTCAGGTCCAACCCATAGACTATATATATTAACGGACAGAGTCACGCCTATCTCCGCCATTCTAACTGATGGGCCAAAAATGACAAACAATTTCCAAGTGGTAACTTTTGTTTGTTACGTACGTGGCAATAAAAATGATTCTGATTCTGAAAAAATGTGCTCAACTGGAGCGATCCAAAATGGCCGCGAGTGGTCCTGCCCACAAGAAAGTTGTGAAAAAACGCATCTGCAAATGCATCAGCCGGCGCAGCTCCATTCATTTGAATGAGAGACTTCAAAAATTCACAGCAAGTAAACTAGAGTGGACCAAAAAAATTCACTCCCCTCAGCATTGACACACATGTGGAACGGGTCTTTGGGCCAAGAGCCAACTTTTGGTCCATCCTGTAAAGACGTTTTTGAGAGGTCTGCCAATGCTATATGTTAGCATTCTTCTTCTGGGTCCACCCCCATCGGCCCGGGGTGGTATTGCAGCATGTCAGCGCACGTTATTTTGGCCACATGCGATATCTCCAGAGGTGGTTCTCACACCCCAGGGGCTTATCACTGAGGGCGCGATTGTCGGTGAGGGCTCGGAACGACGTCGCCTTCTAGCTGTCCCCAGGTCGACTCCAGGAGCGAGTTTGAATGGTTCTGGTGGACCACCACATCGAGGTCTTCACGGACGCCTCACGGAGCGGTTGGGGAGGTGTGCTCGGCCACCACTCTGCAGGAGGCGTTTGGTCCTCCTCCTTGGGGCACATTGTCCTCCTGGAGTTGGAGGCGGTGTGGTTAGTTCTGGCCCATTTCGTGACCAGACTGGAGGCCCAACATGTGATTGTTCGGACATGGCAGCTTACCTGAACAGGCAGGGGGGACCAGGTTCCCCGCCCTTCACAGGCTGGCAGTGGAGGTTCTTCTGTGGGTGGACATTCAACTAGCCTCTCTGAGGGCCCGTCACATCCCAGGCAAGCGCAACGTGGCCGCCGACAGGTTGTCCAGGGGCGGGGTCTTGCGGGAGGAGTGGGGTCTCGCTCCAGCGGTCGTGGCAGAGGTCTGGTTCCAGTTCGGGACACCGGTGGCCTTTTCGCAAACGCAGAGAACGCACATTGCCCACTCTGTTTCTCGCTCAGGTCCAGTGACGAGCCCCCTCTCGGGGGGACGCCATGGTGCACCGGTCGTGGCCCAACGACCTCTACACCTTCCCGCCTCTCCGGCTCTTGGCGGCCCTGCTTTACAGGGTGAGGACGGAGGGGGTCTCCATCCTGGTGGTGGCGCCGGACAGCCCGAGCCAGGTGGTATCCGGACCTGGTGGGCATGGCGCTCAGTCTGCCTTTGCCCGTTCCGTACCGTCCCGACACTCTGAGACAGGCAGGGGCACGCCCTGTTCTGGGACGCAGGCTCATGGTTTGGAGGCTGAAAGACGGAAACTGTTGAGACTATGAGGTTCGCTGGAAACCTTCCAGCCAAACTCTTCGCCTCTTGGTGCGTGGACAGGGGCTTGGACCCCACGTCATTTTCCATCCAGGAGGTCTTGGCCTTTCTCCAGTCCTTGCTGGAGAGGGGCAGGGCGGCCGCCACTCTTGATGTATTTGCGGCGGTCATTACCACTGGGCACGTGGGGTTTGACAGCCACTCTTGGTGAAGCGCTTCCTCCGAGGGGCCCGCAGGATCAGGCCTCCCCTGCGGTGGTCGGCTCCGTCTTGGGACCTTCACTTGGTCTTGTCTGGCCGTTCAGAGCCTCCCTTTGAACCCCTGGACAATGCGACCATTGCCTGTTTGTCTTACAAAACGGCATTGTTGTTGGCTTTGGCTTCGGCCAAGAGGTCTGGGGATCTGTGTGCCTTTTCCGTGCAGCCGTTTTGTTTGTCCCTCCCCGATCGGGGGGGCATGATGGAGTTGTGGCCTAACCTGGCCTTCCAGCCCAAGATCTTCACGCCAGCTTTCAGATCTAGGGTCATCAGGGTGAGACTGTTTTTCCCTCCTACGCATGCTTCGGCGGAGGAAGAGCTGCGGCATAGTCTCTGCCCGGTCAGGGATGTGAGATGCCATTTGGACCGCACGTCTGACCTCAGACGGTCGTATCAGTTGTTTGTGGGGTTTGGCACCAGGAGTCAGGGTGCCGCCTTGTCTCCACAGAGCTTGGCCCACTAGCTTTGCCTCACTATCCGTTTGGCGTATGAAGCTTAGGGCTTGTTGCCGCTTCGGTGGCATTGTTCCGTGGCACTTCGGTGGAGGAGATCTGCAGGGCGGCATCTTGGTCCTCCTCCTCGACCTTTGTGCAGTTTTACAAACTGGATGTCGCCTCTGACCCTGTTGCTCATTTGGTGTTGAGTGCAGGGCAGCCCTAGTTCCTCCTTCGGCAGACCTCGGTGGGGACTGGTCTGCAGAAGGAGGATTGTGTGGAGAGGTGTGGGCGCTCTTGGGTGAGGCGGCCTGGACACTGCAGTGAGGATGGGTTGACTCTGGGTTTGGCGCTCTTGGGAGAGGCGGCCTAGACCCTTCTGCAGTCTGCTTTACTTTCCTGGGGATCAGGAGAGGCTGCCTGCCCAGGTTGATTCTAGATCATCTTTCCTGCCTTTCAGGTTGGGAAATGTGTGGGCATACTTGGGAGAGGGGGCCCTGCATCCCTTTTTCAATGGCTCGTAGGACCTCCGTCTCTACCGCTTGGTAGCTGGGTATGAGCACGTGGGTGTCGAGTTTGCTCCAATCACCGGAGTTCATGCCTGCTGGGAGTACATTGGTCTGGGCTTCGCTATGTTATGCATTAGCAAAGCCTAAAGGGCTGAAGCAACCTATGAAATTTAAACCCCAGTTACCTAATGTAACTAAGATTCTAGGAATATGTTGCGAAGCCCTTTAGCTTCGAGCCCAGCAGGCCTGCCCTCTCTTATTCGGCTGAGTTCGAAAGGAGAAGATAGATATATACTTTATTGATCCTGAAGGAAATTGTGCACTGGTCCCTTGCTCGCAATCAAACAAAAGATACATACATATGTTAGAATTAAAAGATGCAAAATAGTTAAAAAAGAGACAATATATACATTAAAATCATTAAAGGAGAAGTTAAGGCACTGCAAAACAATTCTCAAGACTCCTCCCTCCCGCCTCCCCCCCTGCTCCTCCCAGAAGTGGCTTTGTTATAAAGCCTGATGGCGTTGGGGACAAAAGAGTTTTTAGTCTGTCTTTGGAGCACCTCAGAGAGAGGAGTCTGGAGCTTATGATGTTTCTCTGGCGGGAAAAAACTGAATTTAGTGGAAGAGGAGCTGTGGTGCATGGCCCTATTTATAACGGACTGACCTACGCCAGGACTTCAAGGTGATTGGAGGGTGGATCGTTTTATCTTCTCAGGGCGGGAAGCGGTGCTTCCGAGAGATATGCAATAGAACCTTAGGTATATTAGGTAACTGCGGGGTATACATGTATCTCATGTGTCTGGGGCTTGTGTGTGTGCGTCTCGGGCCTCTGCGGCTCCTTGTATATGGTGTGCGAATTCCTTGAAGTGCTACATGTGGGTATACTGCAGTTACTCATATGGGTTATTTATTCTAATTAATACCAAATCTAGATATTTCAGTTCTGAGCGAGTCTCCCCTTCTGGGACCCGGAGAAACAGCCACCTTCACTGCTGCATCACGGGCTATACCAACGCCGCGGGTACGAGCCGACACCCATAGGACGCCCCTCAGTGCGGGGCCACAGAGGCACGTGGGTCCGTTTGGAGGCGCTTGGGCCTGGAATGCACTGTGCTCTAGGGACTGCTGCTGCGTGGAGCCATGACATATTAGTGGCCAATTAAAGCGAATTAACATTTGAGTCTACAGTGAGGCGGATGCCGAACTCCTGAATGGAATACAGAAACTGTCTTTTATTTCAAACGGTCCAAAATAAATTGTATTTTTGCATCACGCCTCCTGTCCACATCAGTCCACGAACCCGTGTGCTCTCTCATTCTGACTGTCTTTAAGGGGTCCCAGTGCCCCTATACTGTGGCGTTGTTGGTAACATTTCTGCACTTAATTCGGCTAAATTCCTAAATTCATTGTCTCAGCCATTATATAAACATTGAGATGATTTTGTGATTAGTTAATTCTCGTGTTTCTGAAATGTTCATGATTCTACCGTTGTTCTAATTGATGAGAATCTTATAAAATTACTCATATTTTAGAATAATGTATTTTATTTTAGCCACATATTTACTTCAGTGTTTTCAGTGGAATGTCATGGTTGTGTGTGAGTGTAGTACCTCCCACTGCCAGCAGAGGGCGCTGCAGCTCCGGCCTCTCAGCCCTGGTCCTGATCAGACTCAGCTCTTGATTCAAGAGGATTTTAACTGATTCAAATGGAGCTCACTTAATATAATCACAGATAATGAAGACCAGAGGGAGACGAGAGGGAGACGAGAGGGAGACAAGAGAGGGACGGGAGAGGGACCTCAGTGATACTGTTTGTAAGATTTTCATGTCATCATTAAAGGGCCCTAATCTGTCATAATTAAAGGGCCCTAATCTGTCATCATTAAAGGGCCCTAATCTGTCATCATTAAAGGGCCCTAATCTGTCATAATTAAAGGGCCCTAATCTGTCATCATTAAAGGGCCCTAATCTGTCATCATTAAAGGGCCCTAATCTATCATCATTAAAGGGCCCTAATCTGTCATTAAAGGGCCTTAATCTGTCATCATTAAAGGGCCCTAATCTGTCATCATTAAAGGACCCTAACCTGTCATCATTAAAGGGCCCTAGTCTGTCATCATTAAAGGGCCCTAATCTGTCATCATTAAAGGGCCCTAATCTGTCATCATTAAAGGGCCCTAATCTGTCATCATTAAAGGGCCCTAATCTGTCATCATTAAAGTTCCCTAATCTGTCATCATTAAAGTGCCCTAATCTGTCATCAAAGGGCCCTAATCTGTCATAATTGAAGGGCCCTAATCTGTCATCATTAAAGTGCCCTAATCTGTCATCATTAAAGTGCCCTAATCCGTCATAATTGAAGTGCCCTAATCTGTCATCATTAAAGTGCCCTAATCTGTCATCAAAGGGTCCTAACCTGTCATCATTAAAGGCCCCTAATCTGCCATAATTAAAGGGCCCTAATCTGTCATCATTAAAGGGCCCTAATCTATCATCATTAAAGGGCCCTAATCTGTCATCATTAAAGGGCCCCAGTCTGTCATCATTAAAGGGCCCTAATCTGTCATCATTAAAGGGCCCTAATCTGTCATCATTAAAGGGCCCTAATCTGTCATCATTAAAGGGCCCTAATCTGTCATCATTAAAGGGCCTTAATCTGTCATCATTAAAGTGCCCTAATCTGTCATCATTAAAGGGCCCTAATCCGTCATAATTGAAGGGCCCTAATCTGCCATAATTAAAGGGCCCTAATCTGTCATCATTAAAGGGCCCTAATCTGTCATCATTAAAGGGCCCTAATCCGTCATCATTAAAGGGCCCTAATCTGGCATCATTAAAGGGCCCTAATCTGTCATAATTAAAGGGCCGTAATCTATCATCATTAAAGGGCCCTAATCTGTCATCATTAAAGGGCCCCAGTCTGTCATCATTAAAGGGCCCTAATCTGTCATCATTAAAGGGCCCTAATCTGTCATCAAAGGGTCCTAACCTTTCATCATTAAAGGCCCCTAATCTGCCATAATTAAAGGGCCCTAATCTGTCATCATTAAAGGGCCGTAATCTATCATCATTAAAGGGCCCTAATCTGTCATCATTAAAGGGCCCCAGTCTGTCATCATTAAAGGGCCCTAATCTGTCATCATTAAAGGGCCCTAATCTGTCATCATTAAAGGGCCCTAATCTGTCATCATTAAAGGGCCCTAATCTGTCATCATTAAAGGGCCCTAATCTGTCATCATTAAAGGGCCCTAATCTGTCATCATTAAAGGGCCCTAATCTGTCATCATTAAAGGGCCCTAATCTGTCATCATTAAAGTGCCCTAATCTGTCATCATTAAAGTGCCCTAATCCGTCATAATTGAAGGGCCCTAATCTGTCATCATTAAAGGGCCCTAATCCGTCATCATTAAAGGGCCCTAATCTGTCATCATTAAAGGGCCCTAATCTGTCATCATTAAAGGGCCCTAATCTGTCATCATTAAAGGGCCCTAATCTGTCATGATTGAAGGGCCCTAATCTGTCATCATTAAAGGGCCCTAATCCGTCATAATTAAAGGGCCCTAATCTGTCATCATTAAAGAGCCCTAATCTGTCATCATTAAAGTGCCCTAATCTGTCATCAATAAAGGGCCCTACTCTGTCATCATTAAAGGGCACTAATCTGTCATCATTAAAGGGCCCTAATCTGTCATCATTAAAGGGCCCTACTCTGTCATCATTAAAGGGCCCTAATCTGTCATCATTAAAGGGCCCTAATCTGTCATAATAATAAACTGTTCTTTTCCGATACTTCTTTAACTGATAACAGTATACAGGTCCGTGTATTTTTTCTTCAATGGTTTTTTCAAATTATAATCGAAAATTAAATATCTAAAAAATCCGTGTACCCTTCGATCATTAGTTATTTCGTTTCAAAATAAAATCAGAAAATCCAAATTTCCATTTGTTTATTGTTCTTTTCCTTTTCTAAACTTGAATAAAAAAATAAATCCTTTATGCTTCAATATCAATGTGTTTGTTTTGGCTCTAGTTGTTTAAAATTCTCAAAAGAATTTGGCATTACTATTATTTGGTTTTATTATTATTTGCGACACCGGAAAAGAGAAGATACCTCGCGGAGGGGGGCTACAGACGCGGGGGTGGGACCCAGGGACTCCCCTGGTCCCGGGCTACCAGCGGTGTGAATTTGACACGCGGGAGATAAAGGACCAGAAAGTTATGGCCCTTGGAAACCGCCGGGGGACCGCGCGCCTGCCATCCGCCCAAGAGCGCTCATTCTGGGGGAGGAGAGGACCGCAGCAGCAGGGTCAGGGGTCAGAGTCAGGGGTCAGGGGTCAGGAGGCACGCTGCTCCATACCCCCGTGCTTACGGCCATACCACCTTGAGAATGCCCGATCTCGTCTGATCTCGAAAGCTTGGCAAGGTCTGGCCTGGTTAGTACTTTGATGGGAGACCGCCTGGGAATACCAGGTGCTGTGAGCATTTTGCCCCTGGAGCTCGGGCCTGGAGCTCGGGCCTGGAGCTCGGGCCTGGAGCTCGGGCCTGGAGCTCGGGCCTGGAGCTCGGGCCTGGAGCTCGGGCCTGGAGCTCGGGCCTGGAGCTCGGGCCTGGAGCTCGGGCCTGGAGCTCGGGCCTGGAGCTCGGGCCTGGAGCTCGGGCCTGGAGCTCGGGCCTGGAGCTCGGGCCTGGAGCTCGGGCCTGGGGGCGGGCTCAACAACAGCGGGAGTTGTTGTTGTGTAGTTGAGTTGAGTTGAGTACAGCTTGCAGTTGTTTCCGTCTCTCACCATCAAACAAAATAATGGAAGTTGTTTTAGTAGTGTTTGTTTCCACTGCAGAGCAAAGAAATGGGTGAATATTTTATTTAGAATGTTTTGATTTTCCAATTTAATTTAGAAAATGGAAATACAATAAAACAACCACGTAATTTGTTTTCCTGATTTTATTTTGAAACGGAATAACTAATGATCGAAGGGTACACGGATTTAAAAATGGCTTGAATTTTCATTTTTCATTTTGAGGAAAAGGAAAAACTAAAAATTGGCTTGATATTTGATTTTTCGTTTCGATGCAAATAATTTTAAAAAAGAAACATAGAATAATGGTTTCAGGCCAATCCGTGTACCCTTCGATCAAGGGTACACGGATTAAGGCCGATATGGTTTAATTTTTTTGTTTTGGTGCAACTTTGTTGAGATTGGGGACTGTGTCTCAGACCAGGTGGCCTTAACAAGTGGAGTGCCCCAAGGTTCAATTCTGGGCCCCCTTCTTTTTAATATTTATATGTTGCCACTAGGTCAATTGATTCGAGGCCAAAATGTATCCTATCACAATTATGCAGATGATACGCAGATTTATGTCTCACTGGCTGCGGGTGAACTTGGGCCAATTGAGTCACTCTGTCACTGCATCAAACAGATTGACTCATGGATGCAAAATAACTTTCTTCAGTTAAATTCAAACAAAACTGAAGTTATTGTGTTTGGCCCACAGAAACTCAGAGAAAGTGTGTGCAGCCTTCTCCAATCCTTTTCTCTGTCTCCAAATTACAAAAATCAGGTTAGAAATCTAGGAGTAATCATGGACTCGGACCTCAATTTCAATAGTCACATTAAATCTGTAACTTCAGCGGCTTTCTACCATCTAAAGAACATTTCTAGAATTAGGGGCATAATGTCTAAGGCAGACTTAGAGATTGTCATTCATGCCTTTGTTTCTAGTAGGTTAGACTACTGCAACGGCCTTCTCTCTGGTCTGTCCAAAGGAGCTGTAAAGCAGCTACAGTATATTCAAAATGCTGCAGCTCGAGTCCTGACAGGAACCAGGAAGTACGACCACATTAGTCCAGTCCTCAGGTCTCTGCACTGGCTTCCTGTGGCTCAGAGAATAGATTTTAAATCAGCTCTCCTTGTATATAAGTCTCTCTGTGGTCTCGCACCAAAATACATATGCAACATGCTGGTACCGTACGAGCCCGCTCGAACTCTGAGGAGCGCGGGGACTGGCCTCCTGTTGGTGCCCAGAGTCGGGACTAGACATGGGGAGGCAGCGTTCCAGACCTATGCACCTAGAATCTGGAACAGTCTTCCCGAAGGTGTGAGACAGGCTCCTTCTTTAGCTATGTTCAAGTCCAGGCTGAAAACGGTTCTTTTCAGCCGTGCCTACGACTGATCATCAAGAAATCATATCATAAATTTAATTTTGATGTATATATTTATTCATTTTCTTAAACTGTCTTTTGTATTTGTTTTTACAGTCTGTTTTTAAATTGTTTATAAATTGCTTTTAAATGTTGCCGATGTGAAGCACTTTGGGTTGCATTCTGTATGAACTGTGCTATAGAAATAAACATTGATTGATTGATTGAACCGGAAGTGTGCGCCAAAGCCCGTGCAGCGTTATGTTCGTCCGGTTGGAAACAGCAGAAATCAGGAAGGCCTCAAGTGAGTTCAGTCTTTACCTGGAAATGTGAGGAAATGGGCGGAGTCTGCTCTGCTCCTGCTTGGTTTGATCGAAAACCTGCAGCCACCGCGGCTTTTTAGGAATGAGTTGTTGTTTCAGAGGATTGAGAGAGGGAGGGGAGGAGGCGGGCGATGTTTTGGAGATGAGGTGAATGTGGGGTCTAAAGGAGAGGGTGGAGTCCATAATAACGCTGAGGTTACAGAGGGGGAGGGGGTGACTGCGGCCGTCAATGTTGAGGGAGATGTTTTGAGCAGAGGCTGAGTGACTTGGGTCCGGTGATGAGGAGTTCGATTTTATTGCTATTAAGTTTTAAAAAAATGTGGTCCATTCAGAATTTGATGTCAGAGATGCAGTGTGTATTAAAATATTTATTATTTTTTTCCCCTAAAAAATGGCAGTGCCCCTTCTGGTAAGTGTACCAGGTGGGGGATTACAGCCAGGCTGCTTGGTCCTAACCCTGGGAGTGTATATTGCTAATATATTTTTATTTCTCTCCCTAGAACGTTAGAGAAAGCCATGGTCTGCATCTGAGGTGAAGGCTGTGGAGAAGACCATGACACCTTTCATACAGACTGGAAAGGTCCCTGGGAAGTCTCACTGCCTGGCCTGGCCTGCATTAATGCCTCACCAGATGACCTTAGACATGGCATTAAATTCTATGTCAAAAATAGAATCACTGAATCTAGAATCAAAAATTAAATCTTGTAAAAGAGTTGTCTGTTTTCTATTGTCTGTTTAGTATTACTTAAAGTAGTCCCAGTAAAAAAATCAGTGCAGAGTCATTCTAAAATAAAGCAAGATTTTAGGAGTTAAAACCATGGCTATGGGTCGAATATGGAACGGCCCTGTCTTAGAGACCCACCAGGTCACAAAAACGTGTGTGTGTGTGTGTGTGGGGATGCAGGTGTGTGTGGGTGCAGGTGTGTGGGTGCAGGTGTGTGTGTGTGTGTGTGTGTGTGTGTGCAGGTGTGTGTGTGTGTGGGTGCAGGTGTGTGTGCAGGTGTGTGTGTGTGTGTGTGCAGGTGTGTGTGTGTGTGCGTGGGTGCAGGTGTGTGTGTGTGTGTGTGTGTGCAGGTGTGTGTGTGTGCAGGTGTGTGTGTGTGTGTACTGGCAGGTGTGCTTGATGAGCTGAGTGTTTTAACCTGTGTCCACCTTCGCTAATGAGGTTTCTCTCTGAGGTCTCTCTCGTCCTGCCGCAGTCTGATAAAGGAGAAAAACATTTGAACCAAAGTGACTGTTTGCGGCAGAAGAAACGCGGAGATGGCGGACTTGGGCGGGGTGTTCTCGGTGCGGGGTAATGAGCCCAGGCCCGTGTCTGACCTCCCCCTGAGGCGTTTCCCGTGGATGGGCTTCGAGCTCTTCCACCTCCTGCTCGGGCTTTCGCGGCTGCTGCTCCTGTTCGTGGTGGAATCCGTGATGAGCGTCCGTGCGGCGGAGGACGCCGACCATGCGCGATGCATGGGCCTGTTCCTGCTGCAGTTTGTGGGTGAGTGCGGAGGGGGCCGGGAACAGGGGCGACGCTAGCCCATTAAAGGGCAATGGGCTCAAACATTTTTATAATATGTCGGCACAAAAGTTTTTTAAAACTCGTTCAGATGTAAATTATGTCTGATACAACATTGTTCCTTAAAATTCAGCTGGGACTCTTTACCACAAGTATAGTATTGAGTCGCTGGTGCAGGTGTTTCATTATTTGGGTCGAGGATGAGTTGGCTGCATATCGTTAAAATGGTGCGACTCTTCTCGGGTAAAACCAAAGCCCCCCCTTAATCCAAGATGGCGCCATATTCTGCTCACGGGACATACACGGGGACCGAAAGATGAGCGGAACTCGGTTCTATTAGGACATCGTCTGGTCCTCCTGGTTCTTGCCTTAAACCGGCTCCCATGATGCAGCGTTCTGACCAATCAGACGAGACCACAGGAGCTTTTTGTGGCTTTGTGTCACACTTTTTATGAGTGAGAAGTCTTTTCAATGCGGTGCACGCCGTGTAGCTTTAATGAGTCCAATGCTTTCAACAATGAGGAGGATTAAAGTGACAGTCTGAAACTTTAAATGAATTAAACATACGTACACCGCTCCAAGCCTGTATCTGAGTGTGTTCACAGTAAAGGGACAATTGAAGTATCTGGACTTTAAAAGGTTATAACTTAAAAACTAAAATTACTTTTCATAGATTGGAAGAAAGATTTCAAACACAGACACATTGAAGAGATAGTGTGGAAAAAATCTAAATATTGACATAAAAACATTTTAAACGACCAAATCAGCCTCTGATTGGACCATTCTACTGTGACGCTGGTTACATAGAAAATAAAACGTCCTCAGTCTGAAAAATCAGAAGATTAAATCCCACAAAATTTACATGGTTAACACAAAAGAAGGAAATTACTTGATATAAAAAGGAAAAAATAAAAATTAATTAATTAAATGACCCCTGAAAAAAGTATAACGGACGTGATGAGGACAGCCCTATTTTCTCTAAAAATTAAACTTGAGAAAAAAACAAATCTGGTCTGTTTTCACATTTAATTGCTTGACAATATGAAAGTATCATTTTGCATCTACTTTGTGTAAAAAAAAAAAAAAAAATAGAATCTCTGAATCAAATGTGGACATCTGAAAATACCTATCAAACTTCCACAAAGCTCATTCCGTCAAATCATCACGTCCGTTAGGTAAAATAAACAGGGCCCTACAGGAAACTTGTCTAATGTATAAAACAGTTATGTTCTAGAAACTTCTAAAGAACAGAGGAGGTGTTGGAAACATGAAAAACATTAAATATCTTCTGATTATTAAAATCTAATTTTTGGCCTTTTGTCACACTTTTGTGCCCTTTAGTGTGAACAAGCCCATTTATATACATCCCAGTACTACAGTGTACTGTATATCCCAGTACTACAGTGTACTGTATATCCCAGTACTACAGTGTACTGTATATCACAGTACTACAGTATACTTTACTGCATTTGTGTCAATGCAGTATCACAAACTAATGTAGAACTAGGCAGTTGTGTGAATTATGAATCATGTTCCTGCTGTTTCCACAAAGGCAACATCCTGCTGTTGAACAGTTCCCGACCTCCAGAAAGTCTTAGTCATTTTGTATCAATGAAACCACAAATTGTCATATATATATATTTTTTACAATACTCAGTGACATCTGTTTTATGTACTTTACTGTATTGTATGTTTCACAAAACATTTGTTTTCAAAAGGAGCATTAGTCAAACTGCAAAACATTACATGTGATACAGTACGTACTGTAGATAGTCTGCAGTAGTTACAGTACTGTAGATACAGTCTGCAGTAGTTGCAGTACTGTAGATACAGTCTGCAGTAGTTAAGTCAGTGTTTTCTATCAGTGTATTTTGAATAGATGCGTTTTCCCAACGATAAAACAGGATTGCATTTATGAACAGTGTCTTATGTGTGACAGTGTGTAGTGAGCAGGAGAGTGTTGCAGAAGAGGAGACGGTGTGTAGTGAGCAGGAGTGTGTTGCAGAAGAAGAGGAGGCAGTGTGTAGTGAGCAGGAGTGTGTTGCAGAAGAGGAGACGGTGTGTAGTGAGCAGGAGTGTGTTGCAGAAGAAGAGGAGGCAGTGTGTAGTGAGCAGGAGTGTGTTGCAGAAGAGGAGGCAGTGTGTAGTGAACAGGAGAGTGTTGCAGAAGAAGAGGAGGCAGTGTGTAGTGAGCAGGAGTGTGTTGCAGAAGAGGAGGCAGTGTGTAGTGAGCAGGAGTGTGTTGCAGAAGAAGAGGAGGCAGTGTGTAGTGAACAGGAGTGTGTTGCAGAAGAAGAGGAGGCAGTGTGTAGTGAGCAGGAGAGTGTTGCAGAAGAGGAGGCAGTGTGTAGTGAGGAGAGTGTTGCAGAAGAAGAGGAGGCAGTGTGTAGTGAGCAGGAGAGTGTTGCAGAAGAGGAGGCAGTGTGTAGTGAGGAGAGTGTTGCAGAAGAAGAGGAGGCAGTGTGTAGTGAGCAGGAGAGTGTTGCAGAAGAGGAGGCAGTGTGTAGTGAGGAGAGTGTTGCAGAAGAAGAGGAGGCAGTGTGTAGTGAGCAGGAGAGTGTTGCAGAAGAGGAGGCAGCCCTTTGTCAACAGTTGTTGATCTGTAGAAATGACTCTGTCTGAATGTTTATGTTCTTTTCCAAGCAAACACAAAGTTAACCCCAGCAAAAGTAAATCTGGGAGGTGTAGCCTGAACAACTTGAGTATCTTGGTGTACTGCTCGATTTAAAAATCGTCATTCCAAATTAATTTGGAATGAGGAATTAATTTACATAATTTTAAACATATTCGAGCTTCTTGACTGACCAAGCAGCACTTTCCTTCATTCTATGATACTGTCTCATATAGAATACTATATCTCAGCTGGTCCTATGCTGGTATCCCGGCTGGTCCTCTGCTGGTCCTCTGCTGGTCCTCTGCTGGTCCTCTGCTGGTATCTCGGCTGGTCCTCTGCTGGTATCTCTACTGGTCCTCTGCTGGTATCGCAGCGATTAAACCAGTCGAGTCATGCTATAAAAGGGCACTTAAAATCCTTGACAACAAACCTCTTTCCACCACTGTCGAATCTTGGATACAAGTTACTAAGTTTTTCCAATTTTAAGTTATTTAAATTTACTTTGGCCCCAACAACAATGAGTGAGTTCATCAGAAATCTGTCAGTGGCACTGCTCGTCCGAGCGACAGAGGACACCACCTCCTCACATCAGTGAGGGACTGCACCACCACCTCCTCACATCAGTGAGGGACTGCACCACCACCTCCTCACATCAGTGAGGGACTGCACCACCACCTCCTCACATCAGTGAGGGACTGCACACCACCACCTCCTCACATCAGTGAGGGACTGCACCACCACCTCCTCACATCAGTGAGGGACTGCACCACCACCTCCTCACATCAGTGAGGGACTGCACCACCACCTCCTCACATCAGTGAGGGACTGCACCACCACCTCCTCACATCAGTGAGGGACTGCACCACCACCTCCTCACATCAGTGAGGGACTGCACCTCCTCCTCCTCACATCAGTGAGGGACTGCACCTCCTCCTCCTCACATCAGTGAGGGACTGCACCTCCTCCTCCTCACATCAGTGAGGGACTGCACCTCCTCCTCCTCACATCAGTGAGGGACTGCACCTCCTCCTCCTCACATCAGTGAGGGACTGCACCTCCTCCTCACATCAGTGAGGGACTGCACCTCCTCCTCACATCAGTGAGGGACTGCACCACCACGTCCTCCTCACATTTAAACATCAGTTAAAACTGGCTGAGGGGCTCACAAATATGTGAGCATGTGTGACATAAGTCTGAATAAATAAGCAACACTCAACAGAGAGCGGTGCAGTAGGAGGGAGCGGTGCAGTAGGAGGGAGCGGTGCAGTAGGGGGCGGTGCAGTAGGGGGCGGTGCAGTAGGAGGGGGCGGTGCAGGTGCAGTAGGGGGCGGTGCAGTAGGGTGCAGGTGCAGTAGGAGGCGGTGGTGCAGGTGCAGTAGGGGGCGGTGCAGTAGGGTGCAGGTGCAGTAGGAGGCGGTGGTGCAGGTGCAGTAGGAGGCGGTGCAGTAGGGGGCGGTGCAGTAGGGTGCAGGTGCAGTAGGAGGGGGCGGTGCAGGTGCAGTAGGGGGCGGTGCAGTAGGGTGCAGGTGCAGTAGGAGGCGGTGGTGCAGGTGCAGTAGGAGGCGGTGCAGGTGCAGTAGGAGGGGGCGGTGCAGTAGGGGGTGGTGCAGGTGCAGTAGGAGGGGGCGGTGCAGTAGGAGGGGGCGGTGCAGTAGGGGGTGGTGCAGTAGGAGGGGGCGGTGCAGTAGGGGGTGGTGCAGGTGCAGTAGGAGGCGGTGCAACACAATGTCTCAAGTCTTTCTGTCGATTGTTGTATACTGTCCCGCATGTCTGTATGTGTCTTGTGTACATTGTATTCTTTGCATGGTTTGTTTTATGTCTTGATTATTTCATGTTTTTTGTTGACATCCACAGCAGGGGGTCTGCAGATGGAAATTAGCCTAAGGCTATACTCTGGCATATTTACATTGGTTAAATGTTCATTAATATGCATTGTACCTTCTTTTTAAAACCCAAATAAATAAATATAAAGTAAAGTAAGTACTTTAATGGTTGGACCGTGTATTAGGTTTAGAACAAAAGCTTCAGGTTCTGTAACTTTGGTCTAAGCTTCTGTCCATAGCGTTCAAGCAACAGACAAAAACGAACAGCTCGAGCATAGGGAGCGGTGCCTTTGAGCCCATGAGCAAGTCTGTCGTTATGTGTGACCATTGTCCTGATGGTCACATGGTCTGGATCAGGTGTGTGTGTGGGTTTTGCACACAAAACGTATTATATTGACCAGATGCATCGACGTCATCCAGTCACGTGAGCTTACGGCGGCAGTAATGGAAACTAGCATTAGCATTACGGCGAGAGCAAAACAGAGACTCCTAAATCGAGACGTGACTGCTTCAAGCACATGTTGGATTACTTTATAGGTGGAAGTAGGTCATCAGGTCAGGGCTCACAAAGAGCGGTATTTGGAGAAGTTAAGGATCTCTGAACTGGATGTTGACTCGAACCTTCTCCCCCCAGTCAATTTTATCGATTTTAAATGAAATGTCCAACGTTGCCTGGATTCACCGCACATGGTCTTTATCGTTACGTTGTTAACATCCCCTCACACTGGAGCAGATTTAAATGCACATTTTGCTGCTAGCATTAGCAATGCACTTTTCTGTCTACAGCCAAACATGATACATATTGATGGAGAGGAAAATAGTGAAACGCAACTGACGTCTAAGATCAGAGATCCTTTATCCGTGGCACAGTGGGGAAATGTCAATCTTGCAGCGCACAGACAGGACAGTAGTAAGACACGTTTGACTTCAAGCGTTCGTTGTGTCATTGTCCTCCAAATAAATAAATGGAAAGAGAATAAATACAAAATTGTGATTTATTTTGTAAAGTGTTCACTGCATATTGGGAAGTACTTGGATGGCTCAGTCCTTTTGGGTGATTGCCGCCATCGTCTTCATCACGAACAGGTATCGGATAAAGACACATTTGGCTTATGTTTAGCACAATCAACTGCACTGTACAATATCACAGTTTTGGCTGTTATTCGGTGAAACAGGTTGTTTTAGTAAAGTTTCCGCAGGCCACAGTTTGTCAGAAAACACACTGTAGTTGAGGCCAGTTGCTGTTATTCCCGAGACTGGCCTGATACTGGAGTTGCCCGTTTTCACCAGATTGTCTGTGTGCGGGGCAGCAACTCATATGCGACGGATATAATCAGTTGCCAGTCCGATGTACGCTGGGCATTAGACTTCTACCGTCTGTCATGGAGAGTGGGCGTGGCCAGGACGTCACATGCACAGGGTCAATAGGCTTTGTACATACTTACTTACATTCATACTTTACATTCATACTTACATTACATTAGCTTGGAGCGGTGTACGTATGGTCCAGAGCGGAGTTGCCGGTGATGAAATGGTGAGGGCCGATGCTTTGAGTGGTATAAAACAGTGATAAACTGTGCTAAATCCCGAGGTGTGGTGCCATGGCGCTGTAGGCAGTGTATAAATGGCCGAGAGCCGTGGTAATAGCTTGGAGTACTGTGAGTTTTTTGAGCGCTGGTCTCTGACGTCAGGACAGAGCGCTGTTTTGGTCACAACCCCTGATTCTAATATTACGGGTAAGTCCCGCCTTCCCTTCTCTTAGCTATAGCTCTAAATCCACGATGCCGTCCACGATGCCGTCCACGTTAACCAATCGAGTCATGCCAAGGGCTGTCAATCATTGGCGCTGATGCTCGCAACTGCTCATGCTCAGTTTGTTGTTTTTTCACGGAGCCTCAGAATCAAGCCTCCATTAGGCTCTGAACTTATATACTGAACCTATATCTATAATCATTTATATACTGAACCTATATCCATAATCATGTATATACTGAACCTATATCTATAATCATTTATATACTGAACCTATATCCATAATCATTTATATACCCAACCTATATCCATAATCATTTATATACCCAACCTATATCCATAATCATTTATATACCCAACCTATATCCATAACAAGATCCTCTGCAGATGTTCCTATGTCAATAAGTTACATCCGGGCTTACCATGATTGTTTTTTCAGTCCATTAAAACATAATTTTTGTCATGGAAACGTAAACAAGTAATTCTGAACCTCCGTGCATGTGTATTAATAATGTATATGTGTTCTCAGATTAACATTTAAATGTGTTTGGTCTACGCCCATGTTTCCGTAACAAAGGAAGGGGAGGGGGGGGCTTGGGTCGTTTTTGTACCCCTTTTCTCTGACAAACTTCGATCACTTTAAAGAGCGACTAAACACCTGTGCCCCGCCTGACTCCGCCCACGTGAACATGTGAACATTTTCTCTAAAAAGGGCGTTGCCTGGAGGATCAAAGGCAGTGGCGGAGCCAGATTTTTAAACAGAGGGTGGCCAGGGGGTGGCAAGGTTTTTTTTTAAGGGGTCCACATTTATACTATTCCGAAATTTTATTTCATACAAAAACTGGCTAAACGATACATTTTAATATTAATCTTGTCATTATTTTTAATATAACGTGAACTGAGAGCACACTTGGAAACTACAAAGCAAAAAAGTGTATTTAAATAGTCTGAACAAAAAAGTGCAAAATAACATTCAAACATTGCATTACATTTTTCTTTTAACAAATTTAGAAAATTCCTACGGTTCTGGTGTAAAGCAGCAAAGATGTTGACAAACTCATCCATATTCAGCCCTGAGCCCTCCTTGACTCTACACCAAGCCCCGGCGATCCAAGATGGCGCCCTATTCAAATGAATGGTTGTGCTCAGTGGCGCTTTGTGACAGCATAGGGGCTGAAAGATTAGCGGAAGTTGCCTGAAACTCGCAAAGATCTATGGGAAACTGGCCTGTATTTGGGCATCGTCTGGTCCTCCCGGTTCTGCGCAGTGGATGATCTTCCATAATGCGTTGCGCCAAACACGCGTGTGTGGGTCTCACACCGGGTCTCACGCACGTGCACAGAGGGGCTCGGCCGCGCTCTGACCAATCAGAGCAGTTCATCAGAGCGGGAGTTAGAGCGAGAACCAGAGGAGCAGAGTTTGTGGCTCTAAAGTGTGGATTTAAACAAAACCGAAGGATTTAAGAAGAAGAAAAGTTCAGGATGACAAGGGACACTAAAATCCCCACAAAATCCGATCTTTATGATAGCTGTAGGTTCTCTGTCAGGTTCTCTGTCAGCTGAGGTTGAGCTGTTTTAATATGCATTGAGTTCTATGGGGAAAATTTCTGGGTAGCCCACGTGAATTTAGTCTGGTTCAGTCTGCAGTACCGCGAGAATCCCCTGAGCACGTGAGTTATTCAGCTACAAGCTAGTAATACCCTATCCAGTTAATATAATACATCCATGCTCTACACTGAGGATACACTGAGGATACCAAGATGACTCAATCATCTGCCATGGTAGTTCTGAGATGGTTTTTAATAAGTTTTAGGGCAGAGAAACTTATTTCACAAGACGCAGTACTGACAGGTATTTAAAAGATCTTTGCAAGCCTCAAAAGCTCATGAAACACTTTCCAAACGTTCCAAAAGGACAAGGAAGTCCAATAGGGACTCTCTAATCCATTTTTTCCTCCCAAGAAGCCGCCTAGTTTGACGTACCTCATGCTTAAGGTCCTCTATATCTGACTCAAAGGTTCTGCCAAATGAAAACAGGGGCTCTTCTTTCAAAAATATTTTGGGGTCAAGCGACTGCACTCCATCCATAATCTTAGCTATTTTTTTTCTTTTTTTGTGTGTGAAAAAACGCCTTCTGCCAATAGACAATCCTGCACACAGGCACGCACACACACACAGGTACGCAGACCCACACTGGCACACACAGGCACGCACACACACGCAGACACACTGGCACGCTGACACACGCACACAGGCGCGCATACAGGCACGCATACGCACACACACATACACACACTAAAAGTTCTACAAACTGAACAAGTAATGCGCTGCAGTACGTGTGTCTATACTTTGTGTCAAATGTAAACGGTTGGCTCTGCATCGCTAACTTACCTCTTTGTTTTCATCACGACTTGGGCACACACCTGAGTGAGTCCAACAACCCAAAGCATTAGCATCAGTGTTGCCAACTCCTCAGTAAGGAAAGTAGCTATTGGCTGTCCCAAAAGTCGCTAGAAGTCGCTAAATGACGTCATCGCCTAATTTGCATAATTGGCAATTTGCAAATAACTGTAACGGACGCTGTAGGAGAGAGGAATAACGTCGTGGGAGAGACAAAAGTGAGTAAAAAGCACCCTAAATATGTTTAGAACTACTAATGTACAAAGATAATTTCAACATTAACAACATTTAATGATTTGAATGCTTTGTCTAGATCTGTCGCTAGTCGCTTTTTTGAAAAAAAGTCGCTAAATCTAGTGACAAAGTCGCTAAGTTGGCAACACTGATTAGCATACAGCACCGGCTCCACACGGAGTCAGGGTGCGTTCACAGACGGGGGAAAACGTGGGAATTTTTAGCTTTTGGCGGAAAAAGTGCGGAAGATTCTCAAGATTAACATTATTACATTGCCGTCTTCCGAGGGGGGCACTGGGGGTGGCAAGGATATTTTTAGAGGTGGCAGTGGCCACCCTGGCTACCCCTCTGGCTCCGCCACTGATCAAAGGACAAGGCAGGGCTTAGTTGGGCGTGGTCTAGGCTGTGATTGACAGCTCACTTGTCACACAAAAACAGACAGTTGTCATTGCTGCTTAAAGCAATAGTTTACAGACCAGAAATTGTAGAGCTACACACCTGAACCTAATCCACACAACTCCTGAAATTCATTTTTAAACCACCAGATGTCGCCAGATTACTCCAACCTGCTCCTGGGGCGTGTGAGAGTTGAATGGGTTTATATCCCTATCGCAGACGCACGTCACACACACCAACTGACGTCAGAATCAATGAGGCCAGAACCAAATTCAAATGTAGTACCACCAAAAAAGGTTGAGAGGGCGCCACAGACGTTTTTTGGCTCAAAAGTGAGATTTTATCTAATTTGAACTAAAATGTCAATAAAATGACCAGCATAGGTAGAGAGCACTACAATTAACATATTTTTTCAGTTTATGAGTAAAAATAAAAGTTGATTTGGTGTTTAGTCGCTCTTTAAGGTTGTTCCCGTGACGACAGTGGAGTCTGCGACCGTCAGAACCACGTCTGAGATGATGGTTCTGATCAATAATGCAATAAGACACAAATGATACTTTAACATGAGGCGAAAAATATGACCTGAGTCTGTTCCAAAGACTGGGACTGTCGCACGGACTCTTATAACAAAGGCTATGTTCTATGTGAGAAGACCAGCCTGCGTTTAACTTTGTACATGTTGGTTTGAGACTACCTTTGTTCCTAAACTTTTATAACACTTCTGTTTCCTCTTATACTACAACCGTATACCACACAAATACTGCATTGTACCAGTGACGTGCAGTCCTCACCTGCCATCATTGAAAAACTAATTATTATTTTAGTCAAAATATATAATTGTTTTCCACTGTCTTATGCTTATAAAGTATGTTCGGACTGGTTCCGACCAGTTTTGATCATTTCTGTTCAAAATCGCTGAAATCCTATTTTTCCTATTCAAAGAGACGAGCAGAGGCAGCGCTCCTGCCTCTGTGTGTGTGTGTGTGTGTGTGAGTACACTCAGCTCGTGCTGTTGACTTGGGACAGTGCCGGTGACGTCATTGTCTCGTCCAGAGATGATCATTTTCAGACCTAAACTTTTTTTTAAATTAAAATATTAAGATACTCTCCTAAACCCTGGTCCTGATTGTGGTCTCCTTCACAGTGGTATATTATTGCTGCCTCCACATTGCGTTCTCTGCGGTGGCTGTAGTGGAGCTCCTCCTGCTGGCCGGGGGTTTGGCCACAGCCTTGGTCTCCGTGATCCTGAATTACTACATGGTCTCTGGCTGGGACCTGCTCCCTGGCGGGTGGGACCTCCTCCAAGGCTGCTGGGACCTGCTCCAAAGCTTGGTCTTCCATGAGGTCTCGGGCCTGGGCTGGGTGTGGGTGCGCCTGGGCATGCTGCAGCTCCTCCTGGGCCTCACCTTCTGTCACCTGGTTGTGGTGGAGGCGTGGGCCTCCTGGGTTCAGCTGGGGATGGTGCTTCCTGTGTTCCTCCGGTTCCTGGGGGTTCCTCTTCTCCCTCAGCTGGTCCTCCTCCTGCTGGTCCTTCTCCTGGTCCTGATCATGTGGAACCAGATAAAATTCATGGTGTGCCAAACTAAATGGTGAGACAAGGATTTATACATGTTTTAATTCTCCTGAGGCCTGGTCTTCTCCTCTTCCTCCTCTAAACTCTGGTCTCCTCTGTTCAGGTGTGACGATATGTTTGACTCGTTTACAATCCTGTTGATCATGGTATGCTACTGGATTCTCCGGGTTTGGGTCAAAGCTCTGATCCATCTCAACGGCCTGCAGGTAGGGGGGGTCCTTAGCCTCTGGTGTCTCCTCCAGTCGGGATGGGTCCCGGCTCAAGTGGCCAAAATGACGTGCGCTGACATGCAGCAATACCACCCCGGGCCTGTGGGGGTGGACCCAGAATAAGAATCTGCCAATGCTAACATTTTTACAGGATGGTCCAAAAGTTGGCTCTTGGCCCAAAGCTCCGTTCCACATGTGTGTCAATGCTGAGGGAGTGTTCTGGGCCAGTCTAGTTTAGTCGCTGTGGACTTTAGAAGTCTCTCTCGTTTAAATGAATGGGGCTCGTGCAGCTGACGCAGATGCGGTTTTTTTAATTTTCCAACCCGCGCGGCCATTTTGAATCACTCCATGAAAGCCCAATTTTTGGCCCATTAGTTGGAGCGGCGGAGATGGGCGTGACTACGTCTGTTATTATATTATATATTTACAGTCTATGGTCTCCTCAGGAGGAGTGGAGCTGGTCTGGGCTCAGTGACCTCCCGGCCGAGCTCCTGGTTTCCGGTTGTGAGTCGTTCCTCATGGAGTTGGCGATGGCCGCAGTCTTCACAGACGCGGCACGGTACGTCCAGGAGATCTTCGTCGATATTGTCGGTAATGTGCTTCATTTTCATTTGTCTAGAATGTGCCTCAGGCTCACGTGCACAGATGTAAACATGCACTAGAACATACAGATGGCTGACTTGGTTGATGGTTCTAATTGTCTAGTTCCAGGTCTATGCCTGGATTATTTCTCTGATCTCAAATGCTTCTGGATCGTGGCGACGCTGTGGGGGGTCAGCTGCACGGACCCCACGCAGAGACTGGTGAGTGCACTGTCCAGCCACAATGACAGTCCGACACATCGAGCCCTATGTCCTCGGTCCAGAATCAGAGCCTAATGATTTAGTTTACAGAAGTGCACGGCGAGTTGGTGTCACTGTACTCACAGATCGGGGGTCCGTGTTGGGGTCTTATCGTTCAGTTTTTGAGTAAGTTCACTAAGACTGTTCCAGAACTACAGGAACAATGGAACTGAAGTGTTGCAGATGAACACAATCATTCAGAGGCAAAAGTCAAGCCGTATGTCTTCCTCTTCGGGCCAAATAGGATCATGTCAACTTGGAGAAAATGTGTTTTCGGTACAAATGTGACACACTTACACTCGCTGACAAAAGCAGAAAAACAGTGACTCTGGGAGCTGGACTCTGGGAGCTGGACTCTGGGAGCTGGACTCTGGGAGCTGGACTCTGGGAGCTGGACTCTGGGAGCTGGACTCTGGGAGCTGGACTCTGCCTCCTGACCTGTCAATCACCCCCCCCCAGCTTTTATTTTTATTTTGACAACAAACGCCATACTTATTGTAGTGTTTTGACGACAGTATTCAAGAGCCATTTTAAATGCAAAGCTAAACCAATAATGACCGCTGCCCTTTGGCAACGTACTCTGTGCTTGAACTTCAGGTGTGGAAAAGACTAAGATTACTCAGGACAGTAGTTCGTACACTTCATCACAATGGGCTACGTCACTACTGTCTGAGAAGCTATCGGAGCTAGCCACGCTCAATAACACCAATGAACATCAACACATTTAAATGTTAATCATAAAATACATTATACTAGTTACTATTCACAATATAGGAACATCTGCAGAGGATCTGATTATGGATATAGGGTCAGTATATAAATGATTATGGATATAGGGTCAGTATATAAATGATTATGGATATAGGGTCAGTATATAAATGATTATGGATATAGGGTCAGTATATAAATGATTATGGATATAGGGTCAGTATATAAATGATTATGGATATAGGGTCAGTATATAAATGATTATGGATATAGGGTCAGTATATAAATGATTCATGAGCAGCTACGAGCATCAGCGCCGACGATTGACAGCCCTTGGCATGATTTGATTGGTTAACGTGAATTTATTTTATATCAACATTTAAGGCCAGGAGGTCAATTTAACACATTTCTTAACATGTGTAATTCATTTAGACTTCCAGACTATCACTTTAAGCAGAGCTTAGAGCTGCACTAGCTTGTTGGCGCTAACGTTTGGTGAACGTCTTGTTGCTTTTGCTGATCAGCGAGTGAAGAGTTTAATGTCCACAATCATTAGTTTTTATATTTCTCTGACACAGCTCCAGGCGACGCACTGTCTGCTCCACTAAACGCTACTTCAACAGCCGACATAATGTCCAAGTAGCATCTCTGCCACTTTTGTCCTGTAGCTCGCCAGGGCCTGTGCCAGGGCCTGTGCCAGGGCCTGTGCCAGGGCCTGAGCCAGAGCCAGGGCCTGACGGTGACTGTTCTGTGTCTGCAGGAGATCCTCCTCCAGAACCTGTACCTGCTGATGGCCCTGGGCCTGACCCACCTCCACCAATTGGTGCAGCCCTTGCTCACTGCTCAGCGCAGACCGCGGCAGACCTTCATCCCTTTGTTTGTCTTGTTTGTTTTGACGCTGTTCTTTCCCATCCCTCTGGTGCTGGTGATCTGGCAGCACCACGACTGGAGCATCTGGCTGTCCGCGGCCACCACCTCCACTATCCACCTCTTTTTGCAGGTAAGACTGGCTCCGGCTAGCTACACATGTTCTGAACATCTCCCGCCTGCGGCGCTCAGTCTTCCGTAGACTGAAGACGTTAGATTTGGTGTAACCATGTGTGGAGCTGATGGTTTTCATCAGTGTTGGATTATTACGTCCATGATGTGTTACTGTTGTTTAAAATTAATGTTACATTATTACTCTAAACTGTAGTGATATGTGGCATTGCAGCTGAACTAGCTTCTTTAACCGTTTAACAGGTCAAAACCACCCGCCACTCTAAAAGTAGATACTCTTGGACTCAGACCTACACTGGTCTGAAAAGTCTGAGGGATGAATCAGCTCGGCTCAAAAACATGAGGGTATATTTTTAAATCTCTACCTCATCAATATAACTGCTATCCTCGGGTCAAACTGTCTTATGTTATGTCTTTCAATGTTTCCTCCACAGGCCGATAAAGTCACATGTCTGTCTGTGCAGGTGCTGCTGGGCCTCTGCGGCTCCGTGGTCGTGAGAAGCATCCAGAACACTGACCAGAGGGACTGTGAGGTGTCCAGGGCCCTCTCGCTGCAGCACCTGATGATGATGGTGTTTGGCGCGTTGATGGCGGCTATAAACGCCTACGGCTTCATGTTTGACTCCAGGCGTTTCAGTCACCTCCTCCTGATGTCTCTGCACATATGCAGCCACATCTTCCTTCGGGTGAGGGGGGAGGGGGGGAAGACACCTGGTCTGTCTCCCATCCTTTTGTGTGTCTTTGGTTGTTTACTTTTCTCAGTGTGCTCACTCTGACCTCTGACCTGCAGATGAACGATTACCGGTCGGAGATGGAGAAATACCGGAGGTTGAAGAGGAGTATGGTAAGCAGAGTGACGTGGCACGTGACACTGACAGAGGAGCAGCTCCAGCTCATTGATGACGTGTGCAGCGTCTGTCTGCTGCCGTTCAGCCCGGACTGTTCCCTCACGCCCTGTTTGCACTACTTCCACTTCGAGTGTCTGCGTAGGTGGCTCTCCAGGCACAAAACCTGCCCCAAGTGCTCCAGCTATGTGGAGAAGGGGAAGGTGCAATGGAACTGGTGGGAGGGGCCATGGTGGGAGGGGCCATGGTGGGAGGGGCCATGGTGGGAGGGGCCATGGTGGGAGGGGCCAGGTGAGCAGGGCGAGGGGCCGCAGGTGGAACCACGTGAGCAGGGCGAGGGGCCGCAGGTGGGGCCACGTGAGCAGGGCGAGGGGCCGCAGGTGGGGCCACGTGAGCAGGGCGAGGGGCCGCAGGTGGGGCCACGTGAGCAGGGCGAGGGGCCGCAGGTGGAGGCACGTGAGCAGGGCGAGGGGCCGCAGGTGGGGCCACGTGAGCAGGGCGAGGGGCCGCAGGTGGGGCCACGTGAGCAGGGCGAGGAGCCGCAGGTGGAGGCACGTGAGCAGGGCGAGGGGCCGCAGGTGGAGGCACATTTCTGAGGTGTCCCGAAGTGTGCGATGTTGCCGCTGAAGTTCTTCCTGAAATCCTTTTTAATCTAAAGGATTCAATCGTTTTAATGTTTTTTATGATTCTAATGTTAGCTTGTGGAGGTAGCACCTGTTTTTATGATTCTAATGTTAGCTTGTGGAGGTAGCACCTGTTTTTGATTCTGTTAGTTTGTCGAGGTAGCACCAGGTGTGAGGTTCTGCACATGGTTGGTCCTCTGATCTGTGTTTTAACACTTATAATTCTCTGTAGTCTCTGTAGTTTTAACTTTTTATTTTGACTTTCTGATTTTTAAATCTGCACCAAATGGACTTCACTGAAGCTGCGACAAAACCAGCAACTTTTAACGTTGAAGCAACAAACTTGATCCATGTTTCTTTGGAAATAAAGTGTTTGTCCAAACTGATGTGTTTTTATTTATATTCTAATACTGAGCTGGTCAATGGGAGCCAAACTTCACCATGAGCACTTCCTTTACTGGGCTTCATTGAGCTCACGGGCTAAGATCCTTAATCTGTCAGTACATAGTAGGGCCTACAGGACCAGTGGGGGAGGGTCCCAGCGCAAAAGTGGCCAAAATGACGTGCGCTGACATGCTGCAATACCACCCCGGGCCGATGGGGGTGGACCCAGAAGAATTGGCCAATGCTAATGTGGCAGTCGGAGTGGATTTTCGACTTTCATTTTCCACCCCGTTACGAGTTGGCTCAAGGACAGTGAAATCGATGGCCAGAATTTCGTTGGGTTTCGACGCAAGCAAGTGGCCCATGTAGCTATGAGGAACTGGTGCGGAGTCCTTCGGTGCTTGACAGCGCTCACATTCTTGCACCCACTGCTTGATGTCAGAGGTCATCCTGGGCCAGTAGCACCTTTGGCGCACTAGTTCGGTTGTTCTTTCGATGCCCTGATGGCCATGTGCCTCATGGAGCTCCTGGACCTGCTGTTTTAAGGCAGCAGGCAAAAGGATCTGAAATCTCCTCACCCCCATCGGGCCGCCAGGAGCGACGATACAGCACCCCATCCTGTTCGGTCAGCCTGTCCCATTGCTGGAGTAAAGCCAGCATAGGCTTGGAGAGGCGATGCCGTTGTTGTGCGGTCGGTGGCTTTTTCTGTCGCCAAAAGACCAAGAACTCCGACAGAAATGGATCTGTCCGTTAAGGAGCAACCAGGGAGGGCGGAAATCAAGGCCTGTGACGCAACAGGAGGCTGGCCTTCCTGCTGAAGGAGGAGAGGAATTGAGCTTCCAGATAACACTGTCCACCAAGTCTGCAGAAGTCACATACTGCCTGGATAAAGCGTCTACATTTCCGTTACTGCGACCAGAGCGGTATTTAATCTCAAAGTCAAATGCAGCCAGTTGAGCGGCCCATCTGTGCTCCAAGGCTCCAAGCTTTGCAGACTGCAGGTAGCTTAACGGGTTGTTATCCGTATATAGCAGGTACTCCCGAAATTTTTCGGTCATGGCCCACTTGAGTGCAAGCAGCTCCAGCTTCATGGAGCTGTAGTTTGTCATATTGCGCTCAGTGGGCCTCAAACCCCTGCTTGCGAATGCCACAGGTCGAATGCCGGATTCAGTCTCCTGGGAGAGGACGGCTCCAAGTCAAAGTAACTGGCATCCGTCTCAAAGATAAAGGGCCTTGAAAAATCGGCATATGCCAGCACCGGAGCAGAAACTAGTTTGGTCTTCAAACCTTCAAAGCTCTCCTCACATTGCAAAGACCATATGGAACTTAGGGACTGCCCGCATCCCTTCCTGGTCTTGGTACCCGCAAGTGCTGCCACTAGTTTGGCTGCACCTCTGCACAATCGGGCAAAACCCTCCACAAAACGCCGGTAATAACTGGCAAAACCCAGAAAGGAGCGTAGCTCTGACAAGTGAGCAGGACGTTTCCAATGGGCCACAGCATCAATCTTCGACGGTTCGGTAGAGACACCCTCACTGGAGATGATGTGGCCAAGATAGCCCACCTCCTGTTTAAAGAAAGCACACTTCTCCAGTTTTGTCTTCAAGCCCTCCTTTTGAAGACAAGCCAAAACAAGTTCCAGTCGCTCCAGATGCTGGGAGACTGATGAAGAAAAGACTACAATGTCATCAAGGTACAGCAACAGCGACTCTCATTGCTTGTCCCCGAAACATCCTCTGCATGAGGCGTTGAAAGGTCCCCGGAGCATTGCACAGACCGAAGGGCATTCTGTTCCACTCGAAGAGGCCAAATGGAGTACAGAATGCAGTCTTAGGTCTGTCCTGCTCCGCTACTGGGACCTGATTTTACCCGCTGGCCAAATCGAGGGTAGAAAACCAGCGGGCCCCCGACAGCGCATCCAACCTCTCCTCAATGCGTGGCAAGGGAAAGGCATCCTTCCTGGTCTTACCGTTAAGGAGAAGGTAGTCCACACAAAGGCGCAGACTACCATCTTTCTTTCGGACCAGGACGATGGGTGATGCGTACGGACTACTGCTTTCCCTTATTACCTGCGCATTGAGGAGATTGTTTATATGAGCTTTTACAGCTTCATACTCGGATGGTGGAATACGTTGGTAACGCTGCCGGATGGGGATTTCGTCGAGCAGGGGTATTTTGTGGGCAATCAAGTTGGTGCATCCCAGATCACCCTCATGTGCCGCAAACACATTGCTGTATCTTTGCAGCACAGCCCTCACCTCTACCTGTTCTTCCGGACTCAAGGCAGACAAGTCTGCAATCTCAACCTTACCCTGCAAAAGGTAGTCTGTCATTTGGGGGGGTGTCGTGGCTGAGATGGCATTAACTTCCACAACTCCTGATGGACTCCCCCCCCTGGACTGCCACCTTAACGTGGTGGGGGAGTTTGAGTACTCGGATGATCCTGGGAGCTATGCTGTCTGGGGCTTCATGCCCCTGGTAGGGCCTCCCATGGCAGACAGGTCTCAGGTGACGAGTCAGACAAAGAGCAGTCCAGAAGACGCCATGGACAGCACTTATATGAGATCAGTGACGTCGCCCGGCATGGCGCAGCCGGGCCCCACCCTGGAGCCAGGCCTGGGGTTGGGGCTCGTATGCGAGCGCCTGGTGGCCGGGCCTTAGCCCACGGGGCCTGGCCGGGCTCAGCCCGAATGGACGACGTGGGCAGTCCCTCCTGTGGGCCCACCACCCGCAGAGGGGTCCGTGGTGGCGAAGCGGTGCAGAGAGGACTAGGCAGCGGTCAAAGGCGGAGACCTCGGCGACCCAGTCCGCACACACAACAGCTTGCTCTTGGGACGTGGAACGTCACCTCACTGGGGGGGAAGGAGCCCGAGCTTGTGGGGGAGGTTGAGCGATACTGACTAGAGATAGTCGGCCTCACCTCCACACACAGCTTGGGCTCTGGAACCCAACTCCTTGAGAGGGGTTGGACGCTCCACTTTTCTGGAGTTTCCCGCGGGGAGAGGCGGCGAGCTGGGGTGGCCATTCTCATTGCTCCCCATCTCAGCCGCCACGTGTTGGAGTTCTCCCCGGTGAATGAGAGGGCCAACACCATGTACGGTGCGGGTGGAGAGCTGCTAACCTCGACTGGGGATATTTTCGGGCGGTGGAAGGAATACTTTGAGGTTCTCCTCAATCCCCCCATCACGTCCTCTGTTTCAGAGGCAGAGGCTGAGGATGTTGGGGCGGATACATCCATCTCCCTGGCTGAGGTCACCAAGGTGGTTGGTAGCCTCCATGGTGGCAAGGCTCCGGGTGTGGATGAGATCCGCCCTGATTACCTAAAGTCTCTGGATGTTGTAGGACTGTCTTGGCTGACACGTCTCTGCAACATCGCGTGGCGATCGGGGCCAGTGCCAATGGAGTGGCAGACCGGGGTGGTGGTCCCTCTCTACAAGAAGGGGGACCGGAGGGTGTGTTCCAATTATCGTGGGATCACACTCCTCAGCCTCCCCGGTAAGGTCTACTCCAAGGTACTGGAGAGGAGGCTACGGCCGATGGTCAAATCTCGGATCCAGGAGGAGCAGTGTGGTTTTCGTCCCGGTCGCGGAACACTGGACCAGCTCTACACTCTCCATCAGATACTTGAGGGTTCATGAGAGTTCGCCCAACCTGTCCACATGTGCTTTGTGGATTTGGAGAAGGCGTTCGACTGTGTTCCCCGGGGTGTCCTTTGGGGGGTTCTCCGGGAGTACGGGGTCGGAGGTCCTCTGCTGAGGGCCATCCGATCCCTGTATGACCGGAGCCAGAGCTGTGTTCGCATTGCCGGCAGTAAGTCAGACCTCTTCCCGGTGAATGTTGGCCTCCGACAGGGCTGCCCTTTGTCACCGGTTCTGTTCACTGTATTTATGGACAGAATATCTCGGCGCAGCCAGGGGTCGGAGGGGGTCCGGTTCGGAGACCACAGGATTTCATCTCTGCTATTTGCGGACGATGTTGTCCTGTTGGCTCCAACGAACCAGAACCTGCAGCATGCACTGGGACGGTTTGCAGCAGTGTGAAGCGGCTGGGATGAGAATCAGCACCTCCAAATCCGAGGCCATGGTGCTCGACCGGAAAAAGGTGCCTTGCCCTCTGCAGGTGGGTGGAGAGGTCCTTCCTCAAGTGGAGGAGTTCAAGTATCTCGGGGTCTTGTTCACGAGTGAGGGAAGGATGGAGCGTGAGATTGACAGGCGGATCGGTGCAGCGTGCGCAGTGATGCGGTCGCTGTATTGGACCGTTGTGGTAAAGAGGGAGCTGAGCCGAAAGGCAAAGCTCTCGATTTACCGGTCAATCTTTGTTCCCTCCCTCACCTATGGTCATGAGCTTTGGGTAATGACCGAAAGAACGAGATCGCGGATACAAGCGGTCGAAATGAGCTTCCTCCGCAGAGTGGCTGGGCGCTCCCTTAGAGATAGGTTGAGGAGCTCAGTCACACGGGAGGAGCTCGGAGTAGAGCCGCTGCTTCTCCACGTCGAGAGGAACCAGTTGAGGTGGCTCGGGCATCTGTTCCGGATGCCTCCTGGACGCCTCCCTGGGGAGGTGTTCCGGGCACGTCCCACCGGGAGGAG